TTTTACACACTAAACCTGCACCACTGCACCTGCACCACTAACTGCTCCATTAAATGCTAGGACACAGCTTTGGTAGCGTATCCACTGGCAACACAGGATATACTGCAGAGTTGACTCCGGATACTACAGGGTATTCTACCGCTAAGGGCCAATGGCAATAACTGTACTAGGAACACTCTATAGTGGGCGATAGATGACTGTAGGAATATTGACTACAAGAAAGAGACCAAACAAGTGTCTTCTTCCTGCAAGCAGGAGCAACTGACTTTGTTTTACAAGTTTTAGGGATTTTAAACACTCAGCACACAATATACAACAATAATATTTGTTACATTTCCCTTCGCAATTTGTGCATGTCCACCCTGACAACAAAGAGCTATCTAGATCGACCAGACAGACTTAGCATGACAGTCTGTATCACAATCTCATTTTGGTCCCAGCTGGAAGGGAGAGGCTCTGTCTCTTCTGCCATGTGCCACATCAAGGTCCCTTTTGTCACATTTACTATCCAATCAGGAAAGTGGATAGGGCTCGCTATCCAAATGCAAGTTATTTGAATTAGAAAATAATAATTTAAAACAAAAAACAAAACACTTTTTTGCTTTGACATCAAAACAGATGCATGCGGAAAAACACAGAGCTCTACAGCAATAATCTCACAGTATTGTGCAATGTGTACGCATGTATCACATAGCTCCTCAACAATTAAATTTAAATGTATGTGTTAAGTCAAATACAATTATAGTACATATGCGTGTAAATAAAACATGGTTACCTGTTAACTAATCCTTTTTGGTGATTTTATACGGCAGCTTGGAGGTAACACCGTGTCAGGAGCCTGGGTACAGCTTGCAGAAGATGAGGACACCACGTGGGCACCTGGATGGAAAGGAAGACTCTGGTTTGAGCAGATACATGACAAAGTCTCTCCTGCTGCCAATCAATACATTTGCAGGCATCATCCAGTGACATTTGGACATTTATGGACTGCCTTTGCTGATGGAAACATCTGCAGTGCATTAATGCTTCTTTTCTGAGACAAACTACTTACATGACCAAATAGAAGCAATGCAAGCAGTAATGTATAAATGGAACCTGTCATGTTTTAAATGCCGGTGTTCCTAAGGTAACTGAAGTAGAGTTGCAGAATCCATCCCAGCAGTTCCTGTTTTGACAAAAATATCTGCATAACTAAACTTAGTTTTAGCTGGATGGTACGAACGAAAATCCTTTTAATTGACATCCCAACACATCTATCCATCTGGGATTTACCTGTGACACCTTATACATTGAATGAGACTCCACAGGTAAATCTTGGGTGAATCAATTCGTTCCTGTTATGGATTAAAAGGATTTTGATTAGAACGAAATGATTCAAACAAAGTTTTTACACGTCTAATGTCAGCTTGTTTTTGGCTCATCTATTTCTTTTGGTGAGAGCATCAGTTAGTCATTTTTATTGATGTGACTGGTGTAGCCAACCGCAGAAAGGCTTACCGGACTGATTTTATTTTTGTCATGTAAGTAGTCTACTGTACAGGAAAGAACAAGACAACAGTTCTTGTCCAGCAGCCCCACTTCTCTAGTAGTGTATTCAAGATGACTAGGAGGGGAATGATATAGATTGCAACACACTAAGGATGTGAAGTTGGAGAGAATATGCAGTCGCATTCTGACTGGTCATCTGCACTGAACTAATGATTGTGCACTTACCTATCCCAATTTACAAAGATTTTTTTTGTTTTTCATACACAATATGATATAAACTGACTTATTTATTGAGTGCTCTTAAAATAAAAATTGGAACAATATTTTTGACATACAGAGAGGCTGATGTAATAGCATATTCCACCACACTTTTGCACTACAGCACGACGACTTCTATTTCACATATACAGCCTTACTGAAGGTTTAGAAAAGATTGCAATACAAAAAGTCAAAGTTCGATCTGGAAAAGGTGAACTGCAAGACATTGGGGTTCAGAAAATACTGCAGACCCCAAAACGTTTAGTCACAAAGAAGGGACTCTGAACCTGGGTTGTCAGCTGGCAGCTGCCTAGAACAGGCACAGGCAACCTTCGGCACTCCAGATGTTTTGAACTAAACCTCCCATGATGCTTTGCCCACAATATGGGTGTAAGAGCATTATGGGGGATGTAGTCCACAACATCTGGAGTGCTGAAGGTTGCTTATCCCTGGCCTAGAAATATCATCAAATTTAACCCCCCCTAGAGCACACCATGCAGATTAATTTAACCCCCATGGTATTGCACACACGGGCGCATGTCTCATCAGATGCTCGACTGCGCATAACTGTGCCCAGCCTGTCAAATCAAGGAATGGGCCTTGGACACAGATGTGTGGAGGTAAGTGTGTCTTAGACTCAGCTCGACTGATTTTACTGACAGTGTTTATTGACATGACGGACTGAGGAACTGTGACCTTCAGAGAAGCAAGAGTTCCTCTTTAAAACAACAGGTAAAGTATAAAATATACAAAGAAGTTTCACTTTAAAATATTAATATACATGATGATGGTGCAAATCTGGCTTTTCTGTCCCTGGAGAGCGCAGGTACATTGTACTTTGCCCTTTAAAATCAAATTCCAAATTATATCAATAAATAAAGTGACAGGAATCTCAGTAATTATCTATATAGGTAATTAGAGGAGCTGTAATGATAGATATGGACATAGGATGGGACTGCACAGCCCATTAGGGTGTGTACCTACAGAAATGTAACATCTAACTTTACTTAAAATATTAAACAGTGCAGCGAAATACACATTTCTTGCGCTAAAAAAACAGTGTTAATTTTATCAACTAATAATTTTAGTTGACACATTTTTGAGAGTTATTCGACGAACACAATTCAGATGACTAAAATACGACTAAAACTAAAATGGCTTTTTAGTCAAAAGACTATGACTAAAACTAAACTTAAAATTTGCCACCAAAATTAACACTGCACAGAGTGGTTGTGGAAAGGGCAAAAGAGACATACCAGGGCTCGGGAGAGAGACACCTAGAGGGGCTTGGATGACACAAAGAGACACAGAGGGGCAGGGAAGGGTAAAAGAGACAGATAGAGGCTTTAACTTAAACCATTCAATTTTAGTTGTGTCGACTAAAATCCACTGGCGATTTAGTAAACTAAAACAATTCAGATGACTAAAATATGACTAAAACTAAAATGGCTTTTTAGCCAAAAGACTATAACTAAAACTAAATTGAGATTTGCTGCCAACATTAACACTGTAATAAACACAGGTGTATACAGAGCTAGTCATGCCTTTTTCTTTAAAAATATTTGTTAATGCAAATCCAGGCAAAAGTGTCCAGAGACCTGAACAGTGTACAGGGAGGGAATTTGGCCCATGTGGCTGTGCACAGCCGACATACTCCTTGCTCACATCTATGGATATGGAATACATTTACTACAACTCTTCTAGTAACGGGAGGTACGAAACTAGGAGGGGAGGGGGTGAGACTCTGGAGTATGACAGCTTTGTGCACTGCGTCACTAGTGACATAAGGAATGTCTGATGTAAGGGCTTGCCACCTAACCAACCTACACCTTGCACAGCATACACAATAGACTTTTAATCACATGCTCACATTGCCCCATTGCTGGTCTAAATTTTGCAACTCGGATTTATTTTGCTAAAACTCTGTGTTTAAAGAATAACCCTGATAGACTATGACGCAGACACAAATCCCCACATATCCATAGACTCATACCAATGCAGTTCCACTAACATTCATAATAATACACTCACATACAGTAACACCAAACAATTGTACTATTCCCCCAACTACTACTGATCACCTGATGCCAGGGACATTGCTAGGGGGAAATGACAGGACTGGAGCCCTTAAGTGAGGTTGTTAAAACCATGGGTCTAATTTTGGCAACATTTCATTGTTAGCCTAGAGCAGGGGTTCTCAACCTAGTCCTCAGGACCCCCTACCAGTCCAGGATTTGGGGATTAGCTGGGTGTGTCTAAGGTGTTTAGAAAAAGGGAAGAAAAAAAAAAACCTTAGACTCTAAGGTGTTTTTTTTTCTTTTTTTACATCCTGGCACCCAAGTACACTAAATTATCTGCATTTTGGGGCAAAGCATAGCTGGCACCCAGGATGCCTATGTCTGGGAGTTGCTCCATTAATGCACACCGACCAGGGCAGAGCCCCACCAAAATAATCTTTTTATACTGTCACAGCAATGCGCTTATTGTGAATTGTAACAGTATGAAAAGAACAATGCGGATACTTACCAAACACGTTGTAGAGAGCTGACGGGAGAAATTTAAACTTTAGGTCAAAACACCAATGTTGTTGAGTCTATTTTAGCCGCAAATCTGCAACACAATTAAAAGCTAAGAAACATAATTTATACCATGTTGCAAAATTCCTTTAATTCAGCTTTTTATTTCAGCTTGACTGTGGAGGCCTGAATATTGCTGGTTTAGGATATAAATTTACCACGGTTTCACAAAATTTGGAGAATTAAATCCGAAACAGCAAAATGTAGGCCCCAATGGTCAAATGACTGATTAGTTAATAACTCTCACTCCCAGGTTTTATTCACTGAAATCTGAATTAAATTAACAGATTAAAACCCAAAATTTAAAAAAAAAAAAAGTTTTTAAAAAAAAAATCAAGCTAAAATTGCTAAATAATAATTTTTAAAAAGTCCTACATTTTACCAGAATTTTTTAATTTGTTACAATTCAGTTTTTAGTGAATAAAGCCTGAAATGAATTCAATATTTCAAGAGATTGACTATATTGACCTAAAACTTAAAAAAAAAAAACACTCTCTACTGTCAAACTATCACCCTATACTTTTTAAAGTGACCCACACCTTATTACCGACCTGCACGCTGCGCCCAGTGTAACGCACAAATTCCCAAGCAGTAGCAGTTAGCTTTATCGCCGGTAGGTGTCAGCAGATCACCCAGTCCTCCAGCGAGAGTACAGTCTATTTCAAAGCGCTACTCGGTGGTAAGTCACGAGCAGAAGCTACCCGTTTCCTAGCAACCGCGCGAGCCGGTGGGCCTGGGATTGGCTTCAGGGTCTTGCATTGCAGGGGGCGGGGCCTGGTCTGTAGGCTGGCAGCGCCCTTGAGGCCTGGTGACGTGTCTCCGCGAGCTGCAGGCGGAGGCGGGGCACGAGACAGGTAAAGAGGGCGGGGCTAGGGCAGGCAGGGGGATTAGCTGGTCTGTAGGTAAAGGAGTTAGACAGGTAGAGGATGAGGCGGCAGGGGGCGGGGCCAGCAGCAGGCGAGGTGGGCGGGGCCGGTAGCAGGTGCAGCAGGATTGTGTCAGGATGTGGAGGGTCTGACACACACGGACACAGAGACCCCTCACCCTCTCCCTACAGGGAGCAGCAGGGTCACCCCCTGCACAGCGCCCCCAACAGACCGCATCAATACAGGTATACTCACTCACTCACTCAGACTCACTAATACTGCCCTATCCTCACTCACACTCACTAATACTGCCTCATACTCACTAATACTGCCCTATCCTCACACTCACTAATACTGCCCTATCCTCACTAATACTGCCCTATCCTCACTCACACTCACTAATACTGCCTCATACTCACTAATACTGCCCTATCCTCACTAATACTGCCCTATCCTCACTAATACTGCCCTATCCTCACTAATACTGCCCTATCCTCACTAATACTGCCCTATCCTCACTCACACTCACTAATACTGCCTCATACTCACTAATACTGCCCTATCCTCACTCACTAATACTGCCCTATCCTCACTCACTAATACCGCCCTATCCTCACTCATACTCACTAATACTGCCCTATCCTCACTCACACTCACTAATACTGCCCTATCCTCACTCACACTCACTAATACTGCCCTATCCTCACTCACACTCACTAATACTGCCTCATACTCACTAATACTGCCCTATCCTCACTCACACTCACTAATACTGCCCTATCCTCACTAATACTGCCCTATCCTCACACTCACTAATACTGCCCTATCCTCACTAATACTGCCCTATCCTCACACTCACTAATACTGCCCTATCCTCACACTCACTAATACTGCCCTATCCTCACTAATACTGCCCTATCCTCACTCACTAATACTGCCCTATCCACACTCACTAATACTGCCCTATCCTCACTAATACTGCCCTATCCTCACTCACACTCACTAATACTGCCCTATCCTCACTCGCTAATACTGCCCTAAACTGCCTCATACTCACTAATAATGTCCTATCCTCACTCACACTCACTAATAATGCCCTATCCTCACACACTCACTAATAATGCCCTATCCTCACACTCACTAATACTGCCATATCCTCACTCACACTCCCCTGTACTGTCCACACTCACATTCACTTATACTGCCCTATCCTCACTCATACTCACCTGTACTGCCCACACTCATACTCACCTGTACTGCCCACACTCATACTCACCTGTACTGCCCACACTCACACTCACTTATACTGCCCTATCCTCATTCACACTCACTTATACTGCCCTATCCTCACTCACACTCACCTGTACTGTCCTCACTCACATTCACTTATACGGTATTTTGTACCACCTAGTACTTTAGGGTCAGGGTGTGGTATTGATATTGACTAGGTGGTAGTACTTGACTGACCTGTTCTGACCAGTGCTAATATTGTCAGTGCTTTAACTCTCCTGCCCTACTAAAATACCATGAAAAGACTTTAAGTACACCCATTCTGTTTGTAAGACAACTTTTTAAAAGTAATTATCCCTACAAAAAAGATCTAAATTGACATTTTACAAAGTATTAATTTCCATTCTTTTTCTTTATTTACCACTGTACTATAAAGAAAAGTTGCTGTTTCAGCTGTGCTTTTTCGAGATTGTTCTAAAGAATCGATGCATTTATTTGTTTTAAACCAAAAAGTTGACGAGGAAATTGCAATGTTTGCAAACTGATCACATTGTAAAGCTGCTCAGACAGACTTTGCTATTTTGGCCAAAAAAAGTGCAATTTTCTTGTCCAGTTTTCCAGAATTTATAGTTTATATTACCCTCCGAATTTCAAAGCAAAGATTTGTTTTCCTTTCTAATACCATACAAAGCACACAGTTTCTATTTTTTTATACAGATTGTGTATGGTAAAAGACACCTGTTTTTGGGAACTAGATCAGCAGGTGTAGCTACACACCTTATCACACCAGGAACTGGAACTATGTAAAGGACTATTGCTAGAGGCCAATATTTACTTTGCCAACTCTCTGCGTATTTGCTGTCTAAAATCGTTTTTGTTTTTTTTTTGTTTTTTTTTTCTCGTTAACCCACCATATTCAATTTAGGACTTTTAGGTAGCTTAAGCCATAAAAAAAAAAAAAAAAAAAACCACACCACTTTGGTTTTCAGTGTTGTAATGCAATCTCTTTTGACCCCCCAAAAAATTTTAATGAAATTTCTCCATAGAATAAATACATTCCTGAGAACTAACGCAATACCACAAAATTAATCTATCTTCAAGTTCTCTGTATAATGCTGATGAGAACTCAGTGGGCTAATTAATCTGTTCAACTCTTGGTCGCTGGTTCAAATCCCAGTAGGGTCAACTCAGCCCTTCATCCTTTCGAGGTAGATAAAATGATTACCATTCAATTGGGTAACCGTAACATCCCCTGGATGTTGGGCTAAGGTAACATCCCCAGGACGTACTTGACAACCAGTGTAATCTGAATGTACCTTTTCCTGGTTAAATACTTTGTTATTATTTAGCGTTATGTAATGAAAAGAAAATCTATTATTTTCGATTTGTTTTTCCTATCATGAAAATAGAAGTATTCGATAATCTATATTATGAAATTGGGAAGCTTGTGTGTCCTATACTTTTAAAGGAGCACTCTGGGTTCCATAACAACTTTATTGTAGTGATGTTGGTACCCAAAGTGTCCCTTAAAACGTCTCCTTTACCTGAAATGGGGAGGAGCACCTATTGGAAGCGGACATTTAGATTTTTGAAAGCCTAAATATCTTCTACATTGCCAGGTGTCCTAGTCGGGTTTTTATTAATATGTCTACATTACACGTACATCGTTGGGGACAACTATATTTTCAATTCCGAGTCCGCTTTATATTCAAGCTTGGCTATTCCGGATAAAAAAATAAATAAAATATCAAAAGCAGTACCTCCAAAATGATTCTCTGGGAGTGCTCATGCATGCTTGGGCACCTCATAAATAATGGCACTTAGGGCATTTCTTTCAAAATGACTTGGAGAGAGGTAGCAGTGTGGCTAGACTATATATTTATACGAGGAATTGATGGTGGATGTTATAAGTTACTTAGATATCCCGATTCCCAATAGTTATCTCTATAGAAGAAGGAAGTTCCTGCCTCATTTTGCTGCCCTGTTATAAAATAATTGTGATGCAGGGTGAAGTGCGACGGAGTGGCCAGTATGATCTCCCATTTGTGGTTTTTGAGAGAGTGGGAAATTTGTCACAGAGTAATGAGCAACTCCGTATCTCCCTGTTATATATGACTATTACACTCTCTAGTGTTCAAATGGTATTCAATTGGAATGATAAAAAACTTAGAACTATTACTATGTGAACAAATGAGGCTTTACTTATCTATTCTTAGATATAGAATGTGCTAATTGATTGGAATAGCTTGACTCCCAATTAGTAGTACTCCATTATAATCCCAAAGTCTAGATGGAATATTTCTTTAAGGTGAAACTGGGCACACCCTGGACACCAGAACAATTTACCAGTAAATTTTCAATGAGCCATATGTGGAGAGAAGTAGAGAGAAGAACCAATGGTACAGTATGTAGAAATAAATGAATATATATAAAATTAATTTGGAATTACTCACAATTTCCAGAGCTAAAATCCAGCTCTGGTATGAAGTACGTGAAGTGGAATGATCCCCACTCAAGGATATATGGAGTTGTAGCTTGAAAATAGGTGGTCCACCGAGGATTCCGACCTATTTTTAAACTACAACTCCAAATATCCTTGAGTGGGGATCATTCCACTTCATGTACTTCATACCAGAGCTGGATTTTAGCTCTGGAAATTGTGAGTAATGCCAATTTATTTTATATATATTCATTTATATCTACATACTGTACCATTGGTACTTCTCTCTACTTCTCTCCACATATGGCTCATTGAAAATACAAGTCATCATTTTGGACGAACCATCATTACTCTACAAGAACGTTCTCCATTTATTGTGGACTATTACCTTGGACATTTTATCTTAATTCTTATTTTATTTTAATATATATTTTTTAGCTATATATTATCTATTTTTTATATATTTTTATTAAAGGCGCACCCTCTTTCTTTTGTTTTTTTGTTTCTTACTAAGTTGTAGGGGATAGGAGGGTACTCCCCAATATAGGTGTGCTGCCTCTTCATTATTATACACAAAAAAATTTATTTGTGGCATTGCTAGCGCTGATCCTATTTTGATTGTTGTCCTCTTATTATCTGCCCATTAGGACTGCTTTGAAATATGATTTTAGATCGTAAGAGGACAGTGACTGGCTATGGGTATGTTGTAGGAAGCTGCACATTTAAAAAACAATTTTTTTTAAATGTATTTCTACAAAGCTAGAGATTTGAAGGAGAAGGAAATACAGCATGACTATAAGCCCCAAACCTATCAAATGCACTGACGCTGTGATGGTGCTGAAGTGTCCCTTTAAGGCCTATTCCATAATTTAACCATAAACTAACTTGTATTCTTCTGTTGATAGGTTTCCTGAAGACAGCGGTTACAAGTTGAAAACATGAGCTCTCCCAAGCAATGGGACATCAGCCGGGCCCTGGCAACAGCTGGCTTCTTCCACTTCTTCCACAACATTGGGAACTTTTGTGTGATGCCTTTTTTAACCATCTTCTTCCGGCAGCTTGGCCTGAGTGCCCCTCTTGTGGGTATTTTAATAGGAATGAAACATCTCGTTTATGTTCTCTGGGCACCCCTGAGCTCTTACTTGGCTAAAACCAACAGCAAACGGCGGATCCTGATCATGATGTCTCTGATTCTCTCAGCAGGAGCTGGCTTAATTCTCACCTTTTACCCTCCCCTGGATAAAGACATAATTTCAAGGCATTGCAATGGTAGCAATCCCTGGAAAGATCAATTAATCACACCCGGTACTGTGAATTTAGGTGGATTACAACCTCAGAATAGCAGTTTGAGTCATATAGTACTTGAAAGCTCAATAACCACTCCAATAGTGTCTACCTCAATTCCAGTCACTGTTAAAGAAGTTTTCAATACCAGCTCTCCTGTGGAAATGTCATCAAGTTCTGTTAATTCCACAATGGATCTAGAACCCACCGTTCATCATTCTAGTCCATCCATCCATTTAAAAACCTCCACTCCAGGGTTATCTGATCAGTCACTATCTTCAAATGTGCCTGAAGAGAAATTAAAAAAGGCAAATGATGGAAAAAGTAGGCTGACTACTGTCCACACAGGACATACATCTGCCACCGAAGTTGTTCATGATGGCCGGAGCGACATTCCAAAGGTTGAAAATCAAGCAAATTCCTCTAGTCACAGGTCTGACAAACCCACTAGTAAGAAAAAAGTTAGAGATGTCAATTTGGAACTTTCTTACCCAAGCTATTTCTTTAATGGTGAACACAAGAACTTTCTAATTTCATTGGGAGCTATAATAATTTGGGAGCTAATGGCCTCTCCACTAGAATGGACAGTTGATGACAGTTTGTATGAATATCTTGACTTTGTAGATGCTACTGACCGGCATGGAAAACTTTGGATATTTAGCTACTTGGGAGCATGCTTGGGTTCCAGTTTAATTACCTTGCTGGTAGACAACATTGATTGTTTCTTCATTTCCAGCATCCCTCGAGTCTACCTGCATTTCTACGGCTACTCAGTCTTCATAATTTTAACTTTAATGTTGAGTCCCTTGTTCCCTATTCACGTTTCCAAAAAAAGTGAACATGCCAACAAAACTTTGAAAGCCTTAGGTCTGATTGGAAATGATGGACGAGTCATCCTGCTGTCAGTTACAGTTTTCTTGACCGGGGCATTGGCGTCTTCGGCTCAGAACTTCCTTTTCTGGAGGATGCAGGATGTAGGCAGCACAGAGTTGTACATGGGACTTTCCATCACCATTGCCCTTCTGTCGGAAATTTTACTGTACATATTCAGAACAAAGCTTATGAAGGCAATCTCATTTAAATGGATGGTCGTCCTGGGCCTAGGTTGTTTGGCAATGCAGTTGTTGGCTTACTCCTTTATACGGACTTCCTGGGCTGTGTTGCCCATCCAGGTTCTGAGTGCTTTCAGCAATGGAGCCCTGTGGTGGACTGTACTGTCACAAGTTGATGATGTAGCCACCCCTGGGACAGAAAGATCTCTCCAGCTGGTCCTTCACTGCCTCTTCCATGGCTGCGGCGCCAGTGTAGGAAGTTTTGCCAGCGGTTTCATAGTTAGCAGTTTTGGCCTCCCCATTCTCTACCAAGCATGTGCCGTAACCTTGGTTCTCTGGATCATGCTGTTCCTATTAGTCCAGCCCAAGCTCCCCCATGTAAAGAAAATCAACTATTCAAGACTTCTTGCTGCAGATCAGAGTGATATGAGTGATTCAGAGGAGGAGCAGGACAGAGACTGGTTAGTGGAAGCATTGAAAGAGGAAACGAAAATAACAAAATGGTAATTTTATACCAAGAGCTTTGGGAGGACAGAGACAAATCAAACTCATCCCAAGAGTGACCATTTCATTCTGCTATGCTGGGACACCTTGTAATTTGTATATTACTTTACTGTATGCCAATGGATAAAAGGGTATTTTATACAAACTTCAGATTGTATTGAGTGGTATTAACTACATTTATTTATTTATATAAATATTTTTATTTAAAAAAGATCATCCCCAAATGTGTACTATTTGAACAGTAAGTTTCTCCAGCTGCATTATTACTTAGATGGACACTCCAAACACCTAAAGCAGTTTAGCTGAAGTGCTTTTATGTGTGTAATCCGTGATTAGACAACCACAGAAAGTCTGGGCAAGAGAGGACTTGCAAAGCCTGCAGACTAGAGATCTGCAGCATTTGCAAACTGTTTTTTAGATTTACCCCAATGGAAAAAATGCATAATTAAAGCAAGCTTGTTTTCATTAGGAGTGTATCCACTAAATAGTGTTTGTTTTTATTTATTTGGGCTGTGGAGTGTCCCTTTAAGTCTTAACAGCATGTTGCAAATTTAACAGATTTCAAAGGAAACTATAGTGCCAGGAAAACAAACTCTTTTTCCTAGCACTATAGATTCCCTCTCTGTCAAGGCCCCCTCCCGCGGCGCTCCTTCAGTCACCTGGTCCAGCGCCAACATCTGCCGGCGGGGGAGAACTAATGTGCATGCGCTGTATTTGGGATCTCTCCATAGGGAATCATTATGTTTAGACAATTAAAAGTCGTCTAAGAAGCTGGAAGTCCATCTAGTGGCTGTCTACCATACATAGAGCCTTGCAACTATGTATGAATGAAGAAATTCAATGTATGGTGACTGCTGAATAACACACCTATAAACCCTTAGTAGTCCTATTGAGAGGACCAGGATAGGCTGATAAAAAATATCATCCACTTCCTGGTTGCCACAGATTTGTCACAAACAAAACCAATTCAGGCTTGTTAGTTTATTTTTACATTTTTATTTAATTTTATCAACTTTTTTTTTTTTTTTTATGCATTATTAATTCTCTCAAAAAAAAATAAAAAAAAAATACAATCCTGGGCACATGGGTGGACTAACAGACAAGTGTTGGCAACAAGATGAGTTGCCTATGAATATCACATTATCTGAGTGCAACATGCATTAGATGGAATCAAGTTCCGTTTGTCAGCATTATTTTACTAGGGTCCAACCTACCTGGAATGTGAAAATTCTGAGTATCTGGTGGGGTCAGGGGTATAAAATATATTGGTATTTGCAAGGGGCTGTTTGAGGGTTAACAAGTATACCCTGTTGAGGTCTTGAGAAATACCTGATGTTCTGTGTCAAAAGCAATTGTGGTGAATGGTTCTATAAGGGGAATAATCACCAAGGAAACTAATGATATCTTCCTGCAGACCTCTCCACTGTTAGAACTTTGTCCCAGAATTGGTCTTTATACAGAGCCCCCTCTGTGTCTTACTCTATTACCGGAGAGTTCTCTGGACTGTAGCAGCAGATTTGACATCTGTAATTTACCAATTTAGAGCGAGCTAATGAGAAATTCTTGTAATGCTTTTCTGGAAGCTCTGCTTTTCCCAGAACAAGGATTTGCATAACAGCTGCTCTCATCTGCAGAAAGTATCTCGATCCCTGCTTAATTATCCTAATTGGCACTAATTACGTTCGGGCTCAGACTTCGGCTGCAGGAAGCGTAAGACTTTCTTTAAATGGGCATGAATTGCCTAGGTTGTGAAGAGCTAAAAAGTGATTTTGTACAGTGTAAAACACATGAAAAGATTCAGAAATACTGATTGAGTCTAATTAGAATCAACGGATAGGTCATGGACCTAATTGGAAATGGGAAAGGGCCATTTTACACTATTTAGACTGTGAATAAGGTAGCATGGATAAGTAAAAGGTATCTGGCTGATTGGCAGAGACCCTGAATCTTGATGATCTCGACCAACCAGTGCTTTCCCATAGGAAAGCAATGGTAGGAGAGTGCGCATGCACAGCAAAACACTGTGCTGCTCCAATCAGATGGCCTCTATGAGACAAGTTTGATTGCATTACCGGCAGAAAACATTTAATACATTTTTTTTTAAATTGTGATTGTGTTGAATAAAACAAAAGTGGACAAAGTCCCATAACAGGAATCCTAGTGAATGGACAATTAAATTGTAAAACAAGCCAAACAGTTTTTAGTCTAAATTTGCAGTTTACTGTTCTTTTTACTAGAGTTCACTGAACGGAGAATAAACTCAATATCTGGAACAGAAAAAATTCCTGTAGCAATAGTGTAATCTGTATATTTGTTGGTAGTTTGTAAAACGCTATATTGAGAGTGATTTTATAAATTTTCTAGATATAGACACCTTTTTACGTGTCTGCCTTTAAATCAAAGCAATTTGGTTTAGCTGAGGATTTGCTGTAATCTGTACGGGAGAGAAAAAAAGCAAAGTAGAAAAAATGTGAGGGGAGGGAGGAAATCCTAAGTGAAAAGAAATGGAAATATGTAAAGTCTAAAAAGTGAAAAGAAAATGAATCTGTCACCAAACCGGTTCAGCTAGTCTATATATACGCAATTGTATTCCACTGTTGCGTTTTGCCTTATCGGTCATCTGATCTGGTAATTTTAAAAGGACACTCCAGGCTGTAGGTGTCTCCATTTAAAAAAATATTATATATATATTAAAAAAAATCCTACATGAATAAAACAAGTTAGTTTGGTGGGACCATTTGCCAGTGGTTCTTCCTGAGTCCACCATTGACATATCAGACAGGGTAGCCCAAAATTGAGATTGAGACAATCACGTCAGCCATTTTTGTGCCCCACCAGTGAAGTGTTTCTCTAGGCAGAGTGCAAAAAGTCCACCACTGGACTATCCTTTTCATTGAGGGTGACACTAGTGCAAAAAAAGGCCAAAACAGTGTGTAGACCACCCCCAAGCTGATATGGAAGGGAAACCCCAAGTAAAAGATTGGGTTTCCTACTCCCAGGTACTTACAGTTATCCATGCAACTAGTGATAAAATATACTGGACTTTCCATTGGCTAATTGGTTGTTCTGTTTGGTAATGACCTCCATACCTCGGTGCTTCTCATTTTTCTGCTTGCTAGCATCGGCCTATTTTACCATAGTCTGTTAAACTCCCATCAACACTCGTGATGTATTTGTAGCCAACTCACAAAGTACTATACAGAAAGGAGGAACATTTACCCAAGGAGAATTGAAATATTGAAGAGAATTTTTCATTTCTAAAAGAATACAAGAAGTAACATCCTAAGTTTCTGTCTTATGTAAAGATCCGTTGACGTAGCTCAGTGGTTAATACCCTTGAAGACATGTTTCAAATACCTATTTTAACCTCTGGCTACCAGAGTCCAATGCATTACTGATTAAATAACTTGATTTTATTAACTGTTATACAAACAGTGTATATAGTATGTGAAAGATCGTCGAATGTGTATATATATGTGTTTGTTTATTGTAGATTGGACGAGCTTTCAAAAGTTTTCCTTCTCTTCCTCAGGTATGAAGCAATACTGATCAATATGATAGTTTAACACCTCAAGCAACTGATTTTAGAGAAGGAGAGTGAGGGGGTGAGTGGGGTGTCATAAATAGCAGAAGATGTGCCTGAATGTGAAAGGTGCAGGTTGGCTGAGAATAGCCATAAAAAGTTTACAAAGGAGAGTCAATAAGCTGGTTAAAAAAAACAACCAAAAAAACAGCAGAGCAGGGCATGCAACTATATAGCTTCATATATGTATGTATGTATATAAATTGATCCAATAAAAGTGAAGCGAGAATATTGAAAAATAACTATGACATTAAGATGTGTGTTTATATAAAGTTTTGGTAGTGTGTAAGAAGTCTACATTAAGTCCTTCATTTCTGGTGTTGAAATGTGTGATTATTCTTATTAAGCCATTTATATAGCGCCATCAAATCCCGCAGCGCTTTACAATGGGTGGACAAACAGACATGTAGTTGTAACCAGACAAGTTGGAATAATTTTCATCTCAAATATCTTTCGTTCAAGAGTCTTTGAAATTCCCTTTAAGAACGTTAATCCTGAGGTTTTGGATGGAGTGACCAGTCTGGGTGAAGTGATGACCAACAGGGGTACAATATCTATTTTCCTTGTGGTTCTTGATTTAGTGTCTGTGTAGATTCATTCTGAGATGCAGCTTAAGCCAGTTTCTCCAATGTAGCAACCTTTGTCACACACTGTATACTGTATCACGTACACCACATTTGCAGATGTGCATGAATATGGTTCCTTACGGTTGTATGATTTGTTGTAGTGTCTGGCTGTGTTATTGCCACATATATGTTGACACAGTTTGCAGAGTGATTTGTTGCATCGTACAGTGCCATTCTTTGTGAGCTAAGGGGTCATCATTGAAAACATTGAAGCCTGGTTTAACCATCACAGCTTTAAATGCACTGGCACCTCTGCATGTCAGTGCCATTAATAACCACAAGGTGGAGCCAAGCCGAATTTCCCACAGACAAAGTTGACAGCTACAGCCTCTAGTGTTTTATTAAATCCTTTACAATCTCAGAGCTGATGAATCTCCCTGGCTTTGCAGCAGCTAGGCTATAGTGCCCTCCCACTCGTTCTATACCTCCTGTCCTCGTCCAATGTGTTCTATTCACAACTAGGTATCTCTCCATCCCTCAGCAATGATCTCTCCAGCTAAACTCTGGCTGCAGCCATCCCGTGCATAGAGCCTTTCTGGGTTCTCCTGGGCTTTGAGGATGGGAGAGGAACGTAGAGCTTCTAAGCAGTATGGTTCTCTAGAATCCACTAAATGGCAGCATCCAGAAACAGCCACAGGTAGGTACCTGGATATTACCTGCAATACTTAGTGTCCGCACATCCCTGCCCTGGGGACTTTGTAGCCTTGTCTGGGGATGCTGTAGGTACAGCTGGTGGGTTTATTTTCAGAGAAGGGAGACTGGCTAGCAGACTGCATGATTTAACAATTTATGTGCTCGCTTACAATACATTGCTCCCCTTTCTGGAACTCCAAGGGTTAAATAATCTTGGTGCAACTCCCATTGCCATTTTTTGTTGAATGAAACCACTCTACTACTCTATTATTTATTAACACTGTAACACGTTAAGATTCTTGGATCGCTTCTATTACGAGTTCTGCTATCGTTACGTTAATAGTGTCTGTTTCTAAAGGACATAGGTTTCGTTAAATTGCGCAACATGACCCTTAGATCACTTGGGCACAGAATTACGGGTTCACTAACCACTGAACGGAAAACTGGACAGCAAAATATAAGCTAAAAAAAGACACATGACTTTATTACTGAATATTATAATTTTTTTCTGATTTACCTTAATTTTGCTATTCTAGGGTTATTCACAAAACTTGAAATTGTAGCAAATTTAAATTAAAATGGCAAAACGAGGCTAAAATTGCTGATTTGGAAAAATGCTCCAAATTGGCTATTGTCTTGGCTATAACAGCCTAAATTTTGCCATTCAGATATTAATCAGATTTTTAATTTGGAGTTTAGTGAAATACCTGCTTGTTCTCAGTTCATTTCAAATCAATATCTAAAGCATTAACCCCTCTCTGTTTTTCAAGTGGAAAATGTAATCAGTTTGGTCACTAAACTGGAATGGTTATCAGACAAGGGAAGTGCAAATTTGGTAAACACAGCGAAATTAAAGATTTTTTTTTTTTTTCAATTTCACTCTTTACGAATAATTGCAGTTCTCTTGTCGATTTATCCGCAGCCTCCAGTTTAGTGATTTAACCCTTATGTAATGCTTTATTCTCAGACGCCCTACTGGTCTCCCAGCTGGAAGTCCGTATATGAAGCCATCTCGGCTCGACACAACCGCATTCATTCATAAAATCACATCATACATAGAGCAGCGATCTCAGAGGATCACGTGTAGCCGCCAGAGTGTTTGCTTGAATGAAGGGAAGCAGAGAGATGGAATTTTAATGTGGAACCATCACAGTCTGGCTTTTAATCATGTCATGCAAGGGGTGGGGGGAAATCCAATGGGAATGGGACGGATATATTTTGACCTGACATTAGCGATCTTGCCAAAGCCAGTAGAAACATCAGTGCATTATTAGCTAAAGCCAGATTTCTGAAAATCTTTTATTTATACAGTGCCAACAAATTATGCTATACAAGATACAAACCGCAAGGAGTATAACAGTTGGGCAAATAAAAAAACAAGCCGATATTTTTGATTGTAGGAGTCGAAAGATTACACTCTCACAGATGATGGACAGATAAGACTCAAGTAGGTTTATTCATTAAACATTAAACCTGGAATACATGCGATTGTGAGGTTCCTAGCACTTGTTAGATCCGGATATGGCAGCTGGTACTTCCCAAACCAGGGTCTCTATCTGGCAGTAACTAGGTATAGGTCAGGAAAAGGTACAGGGAAGCAGCGCCTTCTAGGTGTCCTCAAACTCGTATGATGGTGAGTCATTATGGAAAATATGAGGACAGAAAACAGAATATAGTGTAGTATATTCTGTAGGCGGTGAGGTAAAATAAGAAAAATGCCACTTACAATTTTCTGGAGCTTCTGTTCAGCTCCAGATATATGCCTCTTGGTGGTATGATCCCTGCCTGTGGGTATGTCACTCAGCTTTAGCTAAAACACTAACGCAGTTCACCTAAAGGGGCTTTTCAAAATGAACACTTTGAAAAAAAAAAAAGCCCCTTTGAGTGAAATGCGTTGGTGTTTTTATGTTTGCGTTAAATAAAGCTTGTTTTTTACCTTACCTGGTCCTTCCTGATTTTATGCCTGAAGATTTTATCCAGAGGAGCCAGTTTCTACCTCCTTGGGGGGGGTGGGGGGGTTTGCTCACATGATTGAGCAAAAACCTAATCTTTGCTCTCCTTTTGTGAGTATACCTCCTTTTATTTTGCTTTTATAACAACAAAACAGAGAGCAGAATTTTTCCGTTTTTATTCTCATTTTATGTACTTGGTGAATATCTGTGACATTGCAATTTGGAGGGAAATACCCGTAAGCGCTCGACACTCTGACGCTTGACCCTGACCTACCATCTACAAGGAACCAAGCTGGGCGACATATCCAAAGGCAGGGATTAAACCTGGAATGATGGAGAATTGACAAGAGAGCTGCAAATGTCAGGTCAAAATAGCTGAATTAAGAAAATTCTCCAACACAGTTTGACTGTTTTGGTCTGAAGTTGCAATTCCCATATCAAGTCTCCACATTTCTTAGTTTATTGAATATACTTTTAAGGAGTGTATAGCCGGCCAAAAGCAAAATAAATGTGTTGCTTATTATGTGGATATTAGGGGAATTTTGGTGTTAAAAAGTTATTCCAGACACCATGACCATTTCAGTCAGTCTGTATGCGTTTCGCTACGAAGCTCTGCACATACGCAGTTTAACACTTCTCCTGCCAGAGGTGTAACTCCACCTTCTGCAGCGTTATTGGGGCTTCATATTCTTACAGAATGTCAGTCATAGGCTCACGCTCTCAACCAATGAATGGCGATGACTACAGGTTCTGTGACTTTGCAGAAGTCGAAAGTGCATCAACGGACAACCAGGAAGTATCGGAGCCCACCTAGAACCCATGTATGGGAGCAAACCGTTGCTAAAGGGTTTGCCCCGTTACTGGGGAACCGGGCCAGAGTACTCCTGACTTCATGATCGGAGTAAAAGAATGCAATCAATTTAGTTTGATGTTCCATATGAATTTTGGGGGGTTTATTAGACTATTTTTATACAATAATATTATAATATAACTATTGTGTGTATATATGTAGTGTGGCACAGTTTTGTTTTTTTTCACTAATTCCTGAATTCTAGTGAATTCAGAAAAAAACAAAACCCTAAATTGATAAATTTAAGCCAAAATAGAAAAAGTCTCCAACTGAGCTATTTCAGCTTGGCTATTTCAATTTACTGCATAAACTCCTATATCTAGCGGCTGAGATTTCCCTGGGTACGTAGCAGACACAATAATTCGGATCCTGTGCATTCTATTCGTAAACAGTGTATTGATCAGACTGGGTCAGCAGTGCAGCGTCCTAGCATAGTCTAATCTGCGTCATGTACTTGCCCTGGGTGAATGATCGCATTACGGTAGGGAATTCCTGTGAAAGCACGTACTCAGTCTCTTCTGCGATATATAAATCTATATTCTATCACACGGAAAGGCAGCACTAAACAATCACTTTAAATCACAGATATATCCCTGTTTGGACAGAATGTCTGTTAGCTAAGGGGCCATATTTTCTTGTTTAATTAGTTCTGCTTATATAAGATTCACCTTGCAGGCTAATCCTTCTAACTCATCCTCACAGTGTACATTTTCTAACCAGAGCCTAGTAAATAGGGATTAAAAATGTATTTTTCTTGGTTTTATAAAAGATTTTTTTTCCTCCGCTATTAAGCTCCTTATGAAAAATAAAATTGGAACACTGGTTTAGTACGGCTCAATTAACTTAAAGATGTAAAATCTGTGCATTGTGCTTGTTAGATAAACTCTGCAGGATGCCAGTTTGTCTTTACTGGTTTCTACCCTTATACATGACTGCAGACTACATTGATATGCTCATATAAATTCTGTACTCTCTCTGTAGCTCATTCACTAAACAGTGATATGAGGCAAATTCACAGCAGAGCTGTAAAACATATGGTGACGCATAGACGAAAATCTGGTGTTTCAGCCACTGCGCATGCACCTGTGCTGCCAATCATTTAAACTGGAAGAAAGGAGATTTAGTCTAAGGCAAAGGAAAGTTTATTTTTTTTTATTTTTATTTTTTTTACAGTAAGAACAAGGATGGGGAATTCTCTGCCTGAAGAGGGGGTTTTAGAGTCTGTACAGATGTTTAAACCACAAATGGATAAATACGTGCAAAAACATAATATACAAGGATTTAAGTTTTAATTAGTGGGGTAATAGCTTCTTGATCCAAGGAGATATCAGACTGCCATTCTGGGGTCAAGAAGGAATTGTTTCCCAGTTTGCTGCAATATTGGATGCACTTCAGACTGGGTTTTTTTTTTACCTTCTTTTGGATCAACAGCAAAAAACTGATGTGAGAAAGGCTGAACTTTATGGACTCGTGTCTCTTTTCAGCTATGTAACTATGTAACTCCATGAGGGGTGCCAGTATTAGAGGAGGGGAACATGTGATCGATTAAAAAAAATAAATTAAAAAAAAATCTGTTTTCTGATTCTGTTTGTTCTACACTTGTCTTCACAACAAGCCACAGGAGAACATACCTCCAGACACTGGCAGTGAGCTGAGCACTAGGACCATGCGTAGACTGCTTGAGGTTTCTGGCTGTCAATCAAGGTTGGCAGGGAAGATTTGCAGGTACGGGGTGTGACAAACAGTGGTGCCACATACAGCACTGGTGATACAGCGAAGGGGCCAGCCTGAGTAAAAATGGTCATGTTGTGCTGAGAATGCATGCTACGTCGATTGGCAGCTGCACTTGTCAGTGCCACTCGGGACTGCTTATCCATAGGGCACTATTGAAAAGCTACCATATTCACCCAAGATCCTGACTTAAAGGGTTTTTCACTAAAGTGAAATTTCAAAGTGAATTTCACATTTAAGGTCAAAATAGCCAAACTGGAAACATTCTCCAAGTCAGCTATGCTATCAGTTGGGCTACTCTGGCCTTAAATTTAAATTTCACTTTGATTTCTCACTTTAGTAAATAACCCTGTTAGGTTCCATAACTCAAGCACATCAAAAGCGTTTCTACTTTGTTTATTGAGGGCTTGTACCAGGTGTCACTAGAATTTGGACCCCAAAGAACCAACCCAGGAGGGCTGGACAGCAGGCCAAATTCAGAACGGTCTTGCTGAATCCTTGAAGGTTGGGCACTGCCTGCTGTTATAGGCATCCTCTATCTGAACCTCTTTAATAAAATGTTGACTACAAAAAAATAAAGTTGTAGCCTTTGTTTATCACAGGCCTGTTTTAAGGGACACTCCAGACCCCTAAAGCATTTTAGCTTGCTGAATTGCTTTATGTGTAACTAGTGTGTCCTTATTTTTCAATTTACAAAAAGTGCAGATTTTAATCGAAATTGTCACTTTAATATATTAAGCTTGTTACACCCCCTTGGCTGTCAATCAGACAACTGGTCCTGTTACTTCCTGGTTTAGTGGAGCTAAATTCAAGAGGCAGCAATTGCTCAGAGCAACTGCCTTGTAAAGACTTCTCATTGGAGAAAAAAAGGAGTGCTTGCAAAGGCTTTAGACAAGAGAGCTGCAGCTTTTGCAAGATTTTTTTTAGATTTACCCCAAATCAAAAAAATGCATAATTGAATTGTGATTTTATTCAAATTTATTTTATTTTTATCTGGGCTGCAGAGTGTCCCTTTAATGAACAACACAGATCCTTTTTTATTCCTTGCAAAGCCTGGGACAGCAGAGCAGGTATCCCTAATCAGGACTGTTCTGCTGGATTTAGGTCAGATGGGTGGTATGCAATGATCTGTTTCTTTGGCTAAAGCTGTCTGAACGTGAAGCTATTATCAACGTAGCTAATGTGAACAGCCATAGCTGTAGCGGCCAGCAGCTGCGTGTCATTCAGCCCTGTCTTTTCTGGGTGCTTGGTAGCTGCTGATGTATTGTCTATTAACTGTTTATAAATTGGAATAATGACTTGTTCTTCCTCGACATCTTCAGCGATATCACTCAGCTGGTTTTAATTTAGGTCGTATTCAAAGTTACTCTTGTCAACAGGGAATTAAATAGCAAACAAGTGGAGGGAAAGATATTACAAGGATCTGATCATATTCAGATAAAAGAGATCACAGGAAAGGGAATGGAACAGACAACAGAATATTCCATAGAGCTGTGATACATCAGTATCTGGCTATGTTTACTAATCTGCAGAGATAAATGGATTCTTTCTGCTTCAGACAATTTAAATCGGCAAATGCCTCAACAAACCATTATTTTATTTTAGGAAACATTTGATAAATATAACACATTGTTCATTTACTGTTTATCTACAAAGAATCTTAAAACGTAAATAAGTTAACTATAATTTCTAATATCATAGATTGCGTTGTATATTGCAATCAATAATTAATTCCAAAATGTGAATGTGCTGATGATAATATGTTTAATGGTCAGTGTTGGGTAAATGGTTCTAAAGTGCCCTCAATAAAGTTATTACCTTGCCCCTCCTCCTGCGTGTGAGGTAGTGATGTGCTAAACACGTGTGTTCCTGCATTACCCAGTTATCCTACTTTAAACATGCAGGTTGCAACAGTCAGTCTGTCATAGAACCAAAAAATACTTCTAACAATGTCATGTTTAAAGGAGAATTCTAAATCATAACCTCTACAGTGTGCCATAGTAGTTGTGGTACCTGGAGCTGTCCAAAGGTAAGTAGTCACATAACTTTTAAGCAATTTAAGACTTGCCTGAATCCCCCTGTGTACCTGCAGTCTGGCTTCCTCTTCAGATATAGGTACACTCCTCTGCATTAAATTAACCGATTTCATCCCTATTTGGACAGAGTCAATCAATTCTGTCCAAATACACGCAGCGATTTATGTCACTGCTTAAGTAGGGATTTCTTTTTTTAGTAATATCTGAAGAGGAGGCTGGACTGCAGATGCCCAGGGTGCACAGATAAGTCTCAAACCATTATAAAACAGTTTGTCTACTAATCATAGGATTGCACCTGGGGACAACTGGCAGCATAACTGCTATCCCGTGCTGTAGTGGTTATGGTGTTTAGGATGCCTCTTCAATGGCCAGTCTTCCCTGGCACCAAACTGTAATTATGAAAGCCACCTGTTAAGAGTCAGTCTCAGCGAGAACCAATTACCTATGGGGATTTTGAAGATCCTGGATGTCCTCATGCAATGCAGCATGCCCTTTAGTTGCCCCCTTGCAATGAGATTGGAGGAGGAAGGGACGCAGCCAGCGCCAAGGGGCGCTGGAATAAGGTAAGTGACAACTTTTTTTACTCTTTCATTGCAGCAGGGGTCAGTGGCAGCGGGGCAGAGAGGTACTATAGTGTTAGGAATACAGCTTTGTATTCCTAACACTACAGTGTTCCTTTAAACTGTAGGGGTTCTTTGGACTATAGGTTCCCTTTAAACTCAGTCTTTTCAATAAACAATTGGTACCAACAATGACGTGTTTAATAGTCGGTATTTTCTAGAACCAAAGTTTACTAATGACACTGTCATATTAAGAAGTGTTGAATGACATTGACATACTTAAAGGTAATTGTCTGTTTGAAGTAAAGTGTTCTAATGACATTTCTAAGGGTCACTCTGTCCTAGAACCAAAATATATTAATACTGTGACATGTTTAATGGTCACCCCATGGTGGGTTTGACCACTTGTGAGCATAATATCCTAAATTTGTTTCCGGAATGATAAGAAAGTGAGAAAAATTCTCACCTACGTAAATCTCTCTTGCAGTAAAAATTACCAAGTTATTTTTCCAAGTCTTTTAGAAATTATTGAGTTTAAACTCATCCATCTGAGCAAAAAGCAATTACAGATTTCAAAGTGACACATTGTCACTCTTAATACGGCTCAGAATAATTGCCGGGAATAATTGTCTGAACTGAACTAAGAAAACCTCCAGTCAGGAACATAATGTCCCTTTAAATTGTTCTTTGCAATTTGATGACTGTATTAACCCATTGGGGAAGATATTGTAAATGTGTATATATCGCAAAATAACTAAATTAAAAACATGGCTAACTGGGAAATAATATAATCCAACTATTTTGGCATAAAACTTAAAATTCACTTTAAATTCCCCAAATTTGTGGCTGTCCCTTTCTCTAACATGCACATTTTTGTTTGTATTTTTTAGGAGAAGATGTTATCTCAATGGCAGATTCTACGACCACTGTGGATGACATTGAGGGTGAACTGTTTAAGATTGAAAGGATCCGGGAAATCCTAGTGAGGAGAGAGTCTGAGCTCCGTTACATGTAAGTACTAACTATGTAAAAAGCGTATACAGAGAATTTTCTCACTGCTGACATGCTAAATGTAGTGGTATAGTATTTTTAATAATTAGTAAAAAAAAAAATTTAAATCATAGCTGGAAGTCTAGAATGATACTTTGATAACATTAATGGCAAACAAAATAGTTCTATCTCAGAAAGATCTGACCTGCACGTTTGACAGTTTCTATAGTGCAGTGGTATTGATTATAGAAGATATGGCTGTCATGAAAGGGACACACAAGACCCCTAAAGCACTTCACTTTGTTGTACAGCGTGTTCTTTTTTTTTTTTTTTTATTTTACAAAAAGTGCAGATTTCAAAAGAAATTGACACTTTTATAAATTAACCTGGTTATACCCATATGGCTGTCAATCAGACAATAAGTCCTGTTAATTCCTGGTTTAATTAACTCAGTGGAGCTATGCTCACGAGGCAGCAATTGCTCAGAGCACCTGCCTTGCAAAGACTTATCATTGAGCTGCATTGGGCAGTCTGTGATTGGACAGACACAGAAAGTCTGGGCGGGGTTAGAAGGGGAGGGCTTGAAAAGGCTGCAGACAAGAGAACTGCATATTTATCAAGCTGTTTATAAATATACCGAAAAAAAATAAATAATTAAATGAATGCAGGTTTTCATTGGAGGTATATCTACTAAATAGCAATGTTATTTTTTAATTTGTGCAGTCAGTGTCCCTTTAAAGCAGGGGTGGGGAACCTTTGGCCCTCCAGATGTTTTGGACTACATCTCCCATAATGCTCTTACATCCATAATACTGGCAAAGCATCAAAACCACTACTGCCTGTAATAGTGGTTATGAAGCCAGGAGTACCCTGCTGCCATTCCCCGGTATAACCATATTGCAACAGTTTGCCTCAGAACTGGGTTCTGCCGAGTGCTGATTCTCCTCTCATGACAGCTGAACCAACATCTGGCTTCTGCAAAGTCATTCATTGGCTGAGCACAAAGAATGAACACAATTATCAGTCGCCAGCCAGGCCGGAATTCATCAAGTGTTTTTTCCATCAACTCCACATAGTTAGTTGCCTTTAAAGGAACACTATAGTCACCTAAATTACTTTAGCTAAATAAAGCAGTTTTAGTGTATAGATCATTCCCCTGCAATTTCACTGCTCAATTCACTGTCATTTAGGAGTTAAATCACTCTGTTTCTGTTTATGCAGCCCTAGACACACCTCCCCTGGCTATGATTGACAGAGCCTGCATGAAAAAAAAAAAACTGGTTTCACTTTCAAACAGATGTAATTTACCTTAAATAATTGTATCTCAATCTCTAAATTGAACTTTAATCACATACAGGAGGCTCTTGCAGGGTCTAGCAAGCTATTAACATAGCAGGGGATAAGAAAATCTCAATTAAACAGAACTCGCAATAAAGAAAGCCTAAATAGGGCTCTCTTTACAGGAAGTGTTTATGGAAGGCTGTGCAAGTCACATGCAGGGAGGTGTGACTAGGGTTCATAAACAAAGGGATTTAACTCCTAAATTGCAGAGGATTGAGCAGTGAGGCTGCAGGGGCATGTTCTATACACCAAAACTGCTTCATTAAGCTAAAGTTGTTCCGGTAACTAAAGTGTCCCTTTAATGTACTATGTCAGGAATTGATTAGAGATTTAGTGCCACGTTAAAAACTCAGGTATTGGGACATGAGCTCCGAGCTCTAGGGTTTTGCGTCTGTCTGGGATCGACACCGGCTTGCATTCCAAAAATGGTGACCGCTCTAACAGCTCACCAGTTGTTGACTTGTCGATAGTTATCAAATAATAAATTGTCATTTATAAACATGACACTTATATAGATATGCAAGTGGTAAATGTCTGGAGTTACGTCACTGCGTTGTGTCCATGAAATCCATCACTTCTTTTCCTTATTTGATGAAGGAACATCTCAGAAACTTAAAAAAAAAAAATTGCATTAAAGACTGTGGATTAGCATCACAACGTGGCACCTTCTCAATTCTGCGAAGGGTTAAAATTCCACAGGTTAACAATTTTTAGCTTTCCCTTCATTCTTAGTATAGGAATTATAATGGTGACTAAAAATGGTTAAGTACCCTCACGATGGCAGGTGCCTGTCTAACCCCTGGGGTCAAAGCGGCTACCTTCGGGTTCCCTAATGATTAATCCAGCTATGCTTGTCACACTTACAACGTCTTGGAAAGTGTCTTCTAGAATATGTGGTTATAGTACTCGGGCTTTGTCTGGCGAGAAATGGATTAATGCCTCATACATTCGTATTTACCAACTCAAATATTATACTAAATAAAATATTGAAGTTTAAACAGAATTCTAAATGTTGAGGGCTAACTGTGTTCCTTTCTTAAAGAGCAATTTTTGTTCAATGTCCTAGAAATGGAACAGTGAGAATATTCCGTTAGTTTCCGTGGCGACAGCTTCACTCTTTACCACTTTGCATTTGTACAACTGCTGTTTAAACAAATGGTTGACGCTGGTTAAAGGATATAATACGATTACAATGCATTATACTGAATTCCGAGGCAGAAGCAGCTTTTCTTACACCATGTTGAATATTCTGTATACATCTGCCCAGCTGGTTTTAAAATTTTAAAATAAAACCACGTATTTTAGGTCAAGCTATACCTGAGCCGGAGAATTTTCGAGTTCAGCTTACGTGGCCTAAGTTTTTGAAATCTCATGTAAATCCTCCACAATTGCTGGCTTAGTAAATAGGCACAATTTTCCAAAAACCATGTCATAGGTTCATTTTTTATTCAGTTAAATTCCAGCATATTTCATTGCGCTGTACAATAAGAAGCAGAACACACACTTTCTGTTTTCCTGGCAGGGAGGAGGTTAAGGGATCATCCTATCTTACTGTCAGGAGAAGCGCAGCGATGCATTTGAGTCAGTACAGGATGAGTCACCGTGAGCCCCACTCTAGAGGCTGCTTAGCAACGAGCGGGGATGCAGGGCAATAAGGACCAGCCGGGGGATGCACACACCTCACCTCACATGTCCAGATTTGTTAACACATCCTGGCTGCAGACACGTGCTGGGCTTTGCAGAGAGATTGCGGCTACAGGTGTAAAGAAGAAAACATATTAGCCATCGTCTGCTGTAACTATGGGACAAGTGATTTTCCCTCCTAGAAATCATTTATACCAAAACTAAACAGTCCAACTGCATCTCCCAGTGTGCTCAGCAGCCATTAGCAAACCATGATTTCCTTTCCTGGCCAGACCAGGGAAGCACGTTCAAAGGAGTTTTAGGAATTTCTAAGAATTTTTTTTAATCTGGCTAAAGTAACTAAAAATGTGCAACTTATTTTGCATTCTCTATCAATTCCGACCTATACTAACTTTAGTCCGTAATCCAGATGAAGTGATATGCCAGTCTTTCTAAACATTACGTAGATACTCTTAATATAGTGTTGCAGAATATGATGGCGCTCTATAAATAATAATGCATGAAAAATACTTGTTCAACGTTGTTTAACTACACCCTGTTCCAAATTATTATGCAAATTCTATTTAAGTGTCACAAAGATTAAATATTTTGTTTTTCAGTTTAACTCATGGATGGCATTGTGTCTCAGGGCTCTTTTGATCTCTGAAAACAATCTCGGACACCTGTGATAATTAGATTGCCAGGTGAGCCTAATTTAAGGAAAAACTACTAAAGGAGGGTGTTCCACATTAGTAAGCAGAGCACCATTTCCATGCAATATGGGGAAGAAAAAGGATCTCTCTGCTGCCGAAAAGAGTGAAATAGCTCAATGCCTTGGACGAGGTATGAAAACATTAGATATTTCACGAAAACCTAAGTGTGATCATCGCACTATTAAGAGATTTGTGGCTGATTCCTAGCACAGACGGGTTCGTGCAGATAAAGGCACATTGAGAAAGATATTTCTGCCAGATCCATGCATCTGATCAAGAGAGCAGCTGCTAAAATACCATTACATAGCAGCAAACAGATATTTGAAGCTGCTGGTGCCTCTGGAGTCCCACGGACATCAAGGTGTAGAGTCCTCCAGAGTCTTGCAACTGTTCATAAACCTTCTATTCGGCCACCACTAACCAATGCTCACAAGCAGAAATGGCTGCATTGGGCATAAAAAAAAATGAAGACTAATTTTCAAACAGTCCTGTTCACTGATGAGTGCCGTGCAGCCCTGGATGGATGAATGGAGTAGTGGATGGTTGATGGATGGCCACCCTGTTCCAACAAGGCTGCAACGTCAGCAAGGCGGCGGTGGAGTCATGTTTTGGGCCAGAATCATGGGAAGAGAGCTGGTCGGCCCCTTTACGGTCCCCGAAGGTGTAAAGATGACCTCTGCAAAGTATGTGGAGTTTCTGACTGACCACTTTCTTCCCTGGTACAGAAGGAAGAACTATGCTTTTCATAATAAAATCATCTTCATGCGTGACAATGCACCATCTCATGCTGCAAAAAATATCTCCGCATCAATGGCTGCTATGGGGATAGAAGGAGAGAAAGTCATGGTGTGGCCTCCACCCTCCCCTGACCTCAATCCTATTGAGAACCTTTGGAGCATCCTCAAGCAACAGATCTATGAGGGTGGGAGGCAGTTTACATCCAAACAGCACCTTTGGGAGGCTATTTTGACATCTTGCAAACAAATCCAAGCAGAAACTGTCTAAAAACTCACAAGTTCAATGGATGCAAGACTTGTGAAGCTGCTGTCAAATAAGGGGTCCTATGTTAAAATGTAACGTGACATGTTAAAATGTTTAAAAAGTTAAAATGTTGTTATAAGTTTGATTGAAATAGCTTTTGATTTCAGTAAATATGCTGCAAACACAACAAATGACAATTTCCGGCTCTTTACAACCTATAAAGTGTTTTGAAACTTACTGTGCGTAATAATTTGGAACAGTGCATTGTAAGTTTATGTTATCATTAGGAGGTTTGTTCAATAAAATTTGAATTGTACTCTTAATAGTTGATAACATGAGAATTATGCTGACTGTTATTTACATCAATTATTTAGGTAAATGAGAAAAATATAATTTGCATAATAATTTGGAACAGGGTGTATAGTGGTAATATAGGAAAAAAACATAATGCTGATTTCTCTTGACTCCACTTAAATCGACTGTCAAGTCAATATAGTCTTGTTTTATTTTTTATTAGATCTCTATCTTCATTTGATCTTTCTGTTTTTTATCTTTTATTTTTGCTTAGTTTTTTTGTTATACATTAGGAGATACTACTTTTCCTAATATATAATCATCAAGTTGACAAAACTTGACAAAAGGCAGAGTTTCAGGTTTTGCAGAACAGATACTCCCTTCCCAACAGCATCCTATATTGAGCGATGGTTGTCAAGCAATGTGCAAGTTATAGCAAGTGTGAACACCAGGCAAATAAAATGGTGGGCAGCAGCATTTCGTACAAATTAGAGTTGAATCACCAAATTTCCTATGGAGATTGAAGAAAAAAGATGATGAGGGGCGAAATTATAATTTTATGGTATCCTCAATGGAAAAAAAGGATGGATTTTCGTAATAATATTTAGACTAAAAGTGGCGGGATCAGGTGATGAATTGAATTTCAAACATACAAAAAAAGAAACCAGTCAAATTTGAAACCAGGGCTTTGGGCTTGGTTAGGTGGGATATGGTAATGTCATCAGTCAAGTGATAAAGTTTGGTTAATTGCAAGGAAGCTGAAGGAGAAGAGCAGATGACTGGCTTAGATTTAGTGAGGTTAGGTTTCAGATAGGTTTTGGATAAGATAAGATGAGAAAGGCGAGGAACAGTTAGTAATCTTGGAAAAAGAGGTAGATCAGTGTGTATCAACAGCATATTTGTTCCACGGTAAACTAAAAATTGTTATGGTGGTAAGAGAACGGTTGTAGAGGGAGAAGAGCAGAGGTCCAAGGTCTGGTCCATGTCCAAAACACAGAATAGAAAGTATAACGAGAAGTAACCATGACTGCTGACCCACCAGTCCCAACCAACAACCCGTTGCCCCACAATAATACATATGACACCTCATTCTTGTGGATAAGGGCAACGGCCACAGCTTTATTTAAATTACCAATTTAACTCAGTCCAAATCTGCCAGCTGTTGGGTGTTTGCCCAACAGGCAGTTCTCACACACATTCGGTGCCATGAGCCTCGACAGCCAGCTCCTCGCCATCAGCTGTCATCTTCCCAAAGTTCCTTTCTTCCTCTGCACTGTCCAGGGAAACCGCCAAGCTGTGAAAACACAAAAAACAACGACACGAGACACAAGCCACAACACCAGAAATGGGGGGGAGGGTGGGAAAACTGTCAGGAGCCCTCAACTGATTCTGCTGACTGGTAAGTCCCCTCCCTCTCCTTTTCCTTAAGAACCCCAATCTTAGCAACATTGTAACTTCCATGATCCATCCCACTATCTTGGGCAGCAGTCATGTTCCTCCTTCCTTATTGTTCCAGAGGGAATCTTGACTGTTGACCCACCAGTCCAAACCAACAACCCGTTGCGCAACAATAATACATGTGACACCTCATTCTTGTGGATAAGGGCAACGGCCACAGCTTTATTTAAATTAACAATTTAACTCAGTCCAAATCTGCCAGCTGTTGGGTGTTTTCCCAACAGGCAGTTCACACACACATTCGGTGTCATGAGCCTCGACAGCCAGCGTTGGTTTATAACTCCAAATCCGTATTGGACACTGCCAGGCGCACCCAAGAATGAGCTCCATACTTGCAGATCCTCTCGCTGTCTATGGGTGATCCGAATGAAGTGAAACAGCTGCTTGACTTCGGCAAAAAGCCCTACCCATTGGTAGCACCCGACAGGCAAAGTTTAGATGCCCTAGCAATGCCTGTAACTGCCGGAGCTGAACCTTTTTAGCTCCTTTTACTGAATCCAGACACAGCAGGTGAGACCGTTTCTCATCCGGCAACCGGAAAACCATACTCCGCGAGTCCACTTCGATACCCAGGTAGGACAGAACCCCCACTGGACCAACCGTCTTCTCCTCCGCTATTGGCACACCAAACCCCGACGCGACAGCTCTAAATGAATCTAGGAGCACCACGCAGTCATCCAACTCCCATGGGCCCACAAACAAGAAATCATCTAAATAGTGAGTTAGTGACGCTAACCCGGAAAACCGAGCAACCACCCATTCCAAAAAGGACGCAAACATTTCAAAATAAAAACAAGAGATAGCACATCCCATAGGCAAACACATATCAAAGAAAAAGGAACCCTGAAACTGGCAACCCAACCGGTGAAAGCAGTCCGGGTGGACCGGGAGCAGTCGGAAAGCGGACTCTATATCCGATTTGGCCAACTGAGCTCCCCTCCCTGCCTCCCGGACCAACTCCAAAGCCCGATCAAAGGAGGCATAGCGACTGTGCGGCGACTCCTTGTCAATGTCATCATTCACCGACCACCTGACGAGTATGACAGGTGGTGAATGTGACGAAAGGATCCAGGCTCCTTCTTAGGGACCAGCCCCAGCGGGGATACCCGCAAATTGGGAAATGGCGCAGTATCAAACGGGCCGGCCATCCTGCCCAAATGCACTTCCTTCATCAACTTCTCCTCCAATATCCCTTCTTTACCCACCACTGAACGCAGATTGTCCGCTAACGAAGGGGAATCCGAATGCACAAACGGAATCCAAAACCCTACCGAAAACCCCTCCAGCAGGACCTCTGCCTCCTTACGCTTGGGGTACCTGTCGAGCCAAGGGCGCATCCTTAGGATGCTCACCGGAGTCCTCTCCTCTAGGGAGGTCCTCCCTAGTGGGCCTCCCACATTGCTCACCTTTCTAGAAGCAGCGCAGGGCAGGGTAGGCCCCTTCACAATGAGAGCACTCGTGTCTGAATCGACACAATCCAAACCACTTGCAATGGCTCTCATTGTAGAGCCAACAGACGCCCCTGCGCATACCCAGAGGGGACATCTCGCAACCCGGCAAGCACCCCCGCACCCTCCCAGAATGCACCCCCCCATGCCTACTCTGATCCAGGGACTGGGAAGGGAGCGTGCTAGCAGCTGGGCCTGGGAGCCTATCTAACACTGCCCTAAGCAACCCCAGCACCTCTTTCCCCCCAAACCCAAGAATGAGCCTATCCCCAGCCAGCGCACCTCAAGCGCTGGCGAAACACTCACCCGTGGCTGCCTGAGGATGCTGAGATGCCTCCTCCTCAGAACCAGAACTGGACTCTGTGGGGGTCTGGAACCCGCGGTCAGCCTCCTGGCCTGACCGCAAGCTGCTGTCTGAAGTACCTGGACCGTCATGCCTCTGATTCCTGCGACTGGGTGTCCTCCTGGGAGCTCTTTGTGTGGTTTCCAGCTCACTTCCTGCCGGAACCACGCTCACTTCTGGCCGTGCGCACGTCATGCGTGCCGACGCAACTTCCGGTCGGGCCGGAAGAGAAGCTCGCGGGGAGCGAGATCTTCCCGCCCTCCCTTCACCGTGGCTTCCTCCGCCATCTTGGGCCTGGGTGCCTTCACCTGCCGCTACCCGGATCCTCTGGCTCCCGAACAACGCTGGCCGCTCCTGGTGCACGGCCGAGCCGCCTCCTCTCCTGGCACAGAACTGGGCTCGGTGATAGACGCGACGGAGGACTTGATCTCCTGGCCCTCCGTCCGTTTCGGGTTGCAGACTGACCGGCCATCTCATCCTGGGGGACACTATTCATGCCCGATACCAGCTCCTCCAGGGCCCCTTGTCCGTGGGTCTCCAGGTAAGATTGCAGGAGCCTCTGCAATGCAGCTCCATTGGCAGCCATGACCGCAGCAATCAGATTGTCAGTAACAGTATGGATTCATCGTTTAGGTGATAAGCCAAAAAAAGTTAAAAAAAATTTTTTTTGATCCCTAAATGTTTTCTTTTCTGAATAACAGGGGGCAGTCAGGTAAGAAAAAACAGTCAGGAGCCCTCAACTGATTCTGCTGACTGGTAAGTCCCCTCCCTCTCCCTTTCCTTAAGAACCCCAATCTTAGCAACATTGTAACTTCCATGATCCATCCCACTATCTTGGGCAGCAGTCATGTTCCCCCTTCCTTATTGTTCCAGGTGGAATCTGAAAACGCGTTAAAGATGTTAAGATTGAATAGGTGATATGAGCTAGGAAAGAGCTATATAACAAATACCTACTGGAGGACATGTTGGTAATACAGTATCAACAGGAGTGGAGAGGGCCAGAGGATTCTTATTGAATAAGGTTATTACAGCAGAGCAAGTTAATTAGGTGCTCAATTATCTCAAGTAGCTTAGAGACCAAGGCTGAATTACTGGACAGAAAGAAAGCATAGAGGGATCGAGAGACTGCTTTTTTAGGACAGTGTTAGCAGAGAATTTTTGAGGGAATACTAGACCGTTCCAGTAGATTGAGACAGGTTGATGGGTAATGCTTTATATTTTGAGCAAAACAGACCAATTTAAATGTGTATATGTCTTTTCCTTCTGTATGAAAAGGATGGATGATTTCCAGTTATGTCAAGAAATAACACGGCTGAAAAAAGATCTTCAACAGCTAGTGTCCAAACCAGGTGAGTCTCTACAGAAATGACTGAATGACTTTGATACGTTTAATATAGCCCTGTCCTCTGTGCCAGGTGAATGGCAAAGGTGAAGGGTGGTGGGATAGGACCATTCTAATAAGTGTTATATGTGTCAGTCACTATGTGGTTATTCTGATCAGAAAAGGAAAAATCAAGTGAGGACCGGCATCGAGAAGATGAAATCCTTCAACAAATCCATAAACTAGTGGAGAGCAGGAATTACTTAGTAGATGATGCAGAGTTTGAACGGTTACGGTAAGTGTCACTGAGAATGTCAACAACACCATACAATGCCTCAGTCATTGGTCTAGAAACTTACATTTTTATAATTCAAGTCATAATTTATTTTTACTCCATTTATCTTCTATGTATTGAAAGTACGGACCATGGATCCTCCTAATAGCCAATTCCTTCAATAACAAATCAGCAAATATGCAATTAATCTACCCCTATAACTCCTCCTCCAACTGTCCCTATAACTCTTTTTACTGCTCCTATACCCGCTTTCTATAACCTCTCCTCTAGCCACTTCCTATAACTTTTCCTCTAACTACTCCTATACCCACTCCCTATAACTCCTCCTCTAACTGCTCCCATACCCACTCCTTATAACACCTCATATAACTGCTCCTATACCCACTCCCTATAACTCCTCCTCTAAATGCTCCTTTACCTACTCCTTATAACTCCTCATCTAACTGCTCCTATACCCGCTCCCTATAGCTCCTCCTCTAACTGCTCCTATACCCACTCCCTATAACTCCTCCTTTAACTGCTCCTATACCCACTCCCTATAAGTCCTCTAACTGCTCCTATACCCACTCCCTATAACTCCTCCTCTAGCTGCTCCTATACCCACTCCCTATAACTCCTCCTTTAACTGCTCCTATACCCACTCCCTATAACTCCTCCTCTAACTGCTCCTATACCTACTCCTTATAACTCCTCCTATAACTGCTCCTATACCCACTCCCTATAACTACTCCTCTAAATGCTCCTATACCCACTCCCTATAACTCCTCCTCTAACTGCTCCTATACCCACTCCCTATAACTCCTCCTCTAACTTGCTCCTATACCCACTCCCTATAACTCCTCCTCTCACTGCTCCTATACCCACTCCCTATAACTCCTCCTCTAACTGCTCCTATACCCACTCCCTATAACTCCTCCTCTAACTGCTCCTATACCCAGTCCCTATAACTCCTATACCCAGTCCCTATAACTCCTATACCCACTCCCTATAACTCCTCCTCTAGCTGCTCCTACACCCACTCCCTATAACTGCTCCTATACTCCTCCCTATAACTCCTCCTCTAACTGCTCCTATACCCACTCCCTATAACTCCTCCTCTAACTGCTCCTATACCCACTCCCTATAACTCCTCCTCTAACTGCTCCTATACCCACTCCCTATAACTCCTCCTCTAACTGCTCCTATACCCAATCCTTATAACTCCTCCTCTAACTGCTCCTATACCCACTCCTTATAACTCCTCCTATAACTGCTCCTATACCCACTCCCTATAACTCCTCCTCTAACTGCTCCTATCCCACTCCCTATAACTCCTCCTCTAACTGCTCCTATACCCACTCCCTTAACTCCTCCTCTAACTGCTCCTATACCCACTCCCTATAACTCCTCCTCTAACTGCTTACACCCGTTGCATTTAATGTAACTGACTGTAAAAGCTGCATTGCATTTTGTGGTCTGTGTATTATAAAACCTCAAATAACGAAAATTCGTGACTAACGACGAGTTGGAAAATTTTATATTTTTTGCCTAAATATTTCCATTCGGATTTCAATTCTTTATGATCTGGAGTTTATTAAATTGCCCTGTTATTATTAGTCATTCTTATGTCTGGAAATGTTTTTTGGACTTGTTTGTCTTTTCTTTTAACGTCATAAGAGCAAGTAATGAGAGCCAAAATATTTTTTAAAATACAGAAAACGGAAATCAATATTTGAAATCGATTAAAGGACCATTATAGTGCCAGGAAAACATACTCGTTTTCCTGGCACTATAGTGCCCTGAGGGTGCCCCCACCCTCAGGGACCCCCTCCCGCCCGGCTCTGGGGAGAGGAAAAGGGTTAAACTTACCTTTATTCCAGCTCCGGGCGGGGAGCTCTCCTCCTCCTCTCCGCCTCCGATCCTCCTCTTCGGCTGAATGCATGCGCGGCAGGAGCTGTGCACGCATTCAGCCGGTCTCATAGGAAAGCATTTACAATCCTTTCCTATGGACGCTTGCGTGTTCTCACTGTGATTTTCACAGTGAGAAGCACACAAGCGCCTCTAGCGGCTGTCAATGAGACAGCCATTAGAGGCTTTAGAAGCATTCTCTGAAACTGCTATGTTTATAAAAAAAGGGGTTAATCCTAGAGGGACCTGGCACCCAGACCACTTCATTAAGCTGAAGTGGTCTGGGTGCCTAGAGTGGTCCTTTAAGTGTCCTGATTGGGTTTTCTAGGCTTGTAACCAATCAGAATCAAGATAACATTGTAATGAAAATGTGATGGTTCTGACCTTGATCTGTGCAGGTGAGAGTAAAGTAATGGCATCCCCCACCCAGTCTGTCATGCCTTGAACGCTTCCCAGGGCAATACACGGAAAATATATACCGGTACATTTTAGAACACTTTCACATATACTAAAACTCATTAAATTGTTCCATTTTATATAAGATCATCTTATGTTTAACCAGTACCATCCATTTAAATCTCCTCTAGCTGTTGCAATACTGTAATTGCTCTATATATAGCAAGGTGCCCTTTGATTTCAACTTTAATTATTTTTATCTTGCCATACATCTTCTTATAACTAGTCCTGTAATCAGTTTTATTGGAATTCTCCGAGTCAGTAAAGGTGAGCTCATATTTTCTCTCCATTACTTTTCCCCAATCTTTCTGGCTTTAACTTTGAGGTAGGGGGCCTGAATGCCTCCCGAGCAATATTGAATGGATCTCATTATTCACTATAGAATCCTCCGTAATCTCTCTCTGTGTATTAGAACAACAGCTAGAAAATGATTATTAATATACTGTCAGTATTTTATGGATTTCGGGGGATCTGAAGCTGTTCACTTTGCAGCACACAGTGAGGGTGATTTATAAAAAATGTCGTGGCTGTTTTCGCACCCACATTTTTTTTTTTTCTGTTTGCGTCGATATTTTCCTTTGTCTGCTCCACAATATTCCTTTTTGCACGCTACCCAACAGTTTTGTCCTGCGCTCCTTTTTTGTGACCATGTTGATATATGAAAAAGAAGTACAACATATGCCTTTTTTTCGAAAAAAAAATTCCTCCACTGTTAGTGCAGTGGATTTTCTGAAACAGGTAAGCAGCTTTCACTGTCTACCTTTTTGTTTAAGCAATAAAACATCCTTCGAATTATGAAAGTGTCTTTTTTTTAGTAATATTACTCATTTGTCACGATGCTTTGCCAGCTGGGGATCTATAATTTGAACATCCTTGCATTGTTGTATTTAGCACCGAGCAGTGTTTGTGTTTAAATGTAAGTAAATTTTTGTGTGTGAGTGAATGTAGGGGCGTGTTTGTATGTAGTGTTGCTGTTTAAATACAGTTGTGCATTTGTGTGTAGTATTGTTTTTTTTTATGCAGACGTGTGTTTATATATAATGTTAGTCAGTGGCGTACACACAATCCATGGGGCCCAAGTGCGAAACTAATCCGTGGGCCCCCCTTCCACTCTCCCCTGATCCATGCTCCCCGTTCCCCCCTGACACATACACACACACACACACACACACACACAAACATCTCTCGACAGACACATACAGACACACACATATATACACACAGACACATACATACAGAGACACAGGCACACACAAACACACACATAGACACAGACACACATACAGAGAGACACAGACACACATACAGAGAGACACAGACACATACAGAGACACAGACACACACACATACAGAGACACAGACACACATACATACAGAGACACACACACATACACATACAGAGACAGACACACACACACACACACACACACACATACAGAGACACAGACACACACACACACACATACATACAGAGACACATACACACTTCCTCCCAGCTCTGATGTCATCACAGGGGGCCCGGTCGCGCTCTTAAAGCGCCCAGCTCAGACCGGGCCTCCCCTCAATCCATATCCAGCGGGTGGCCCTGACAGCATGGGCCACCCGATGTACCGTTCCATATGCGGCCCCGGCGGTTTGACGCGCGGGCCAGGGCCGCAAAATGTGGCAGCAGGCCTGGTACCCGGTTGCAGGGGTCCGCAGTGACACACATACAGATACACAAACACTGACACACATACAGATACACAGGCACACAGATAAACACACTGACACACATGCAGATACACAAATACTGCCACACATGCAGATGCACAATGCCACAGATACAAACACTGACACAAATACACACACATGCACACATGCAGATACACACATACAGATACACAGACGCACATATGCAAACACTGCCACACATGTAGATACATAGATACAAACACTGCCATACATGTAGATAAACAGACACACAGATACAAACACTGACACACATACAGATACACAGACATACAGATACAAGCAAAGACACACATGCAGATGCACAGATACACAGATATAAGTAAAGACATACATATAGATACACAGGCACAGAGATACACACACAGATGCACAGTCACACAGATACTGGAGACGCACAGATACAAGCAGATACACATGCTGATACACAAACACAAAGATACAAACATTGACACACGTAGAGCTACACAGACAGAAATACACATACATACATATATTCTGATCAAAATTTTGTCTTGTGCTGGCTGAGGCTGTTGGGAGTTAGGGGCTTACTCTCCCGGTCCGCCCCCCTCCTCTCCCTCTCGCACAAGCAGCTCCTGAGAACACGTGACCATTAGGAGGCCCTAAGTGCATGGGCCATCCGATGGGCTCCTCTCAACCTGGTGCAGCCAGTGTGGTAGTTCTGCCGCTGATTTTGGCATATTAGAGAAAAAGCAGGAAAAAAGTCACCAACGCATAAAGGGTGTACCAACAGTTCCCTACCCTCAAAAATGGAGCATGTACACAAAACTGATGCAAATGTGAAAGCGCATACGTCAATTTTTATAAATCACCCAAAATATATGTTAATGTGCAGATATGTCCTTCACAGGAGCAGCCTATTAACTCCTCAAAATACATGGTGATTGACCCTCTCACTACCCAAGGTAGGGGTAGGCAACTTTCAGCACTCCAAATGTTGTGGACTACATCCCCAACAATGCTCTTAAAGTTACAATATAGTCACCAGAACAACTACAGTTTAATGTTGTTCTGGTGAGTATAGTCAGTCCCTACAGGCTTTTAATGTACACATTGCTCTTTCAAAGAAAAGCTGGTGTTTACATTGCTCCCCAGGGACACCTCCAGTGGCAGCAATTCAGACGGCCACTAGAGGTGCTTCCACGGGCAGTGCTGCACAGTGTGTAGCACTGATGTTCAGCATCTCCACACCCTGCATGGAGAAGCTGAACTTTCCCCATACAGATGCATTGATTCAGTGCATCTCTATGAGGAGATGCTGATTGGCCAGGGTGGCGTTTGGCTCTTCCCCCAGTCTGCCTTCTTGGCTAAGATCATCAGAATTGATGATCTCAGCCAATCCCATGCTTTACCTATGGGAAAACATTGTGATTGGCTGAGATCATCAATTTGGATTTTGTCATCCAAGGAGGTGGATCAGGGGTGGGGCCAGCACCGGCAAATCGGCGCTGGAATAAAGGTGAGTAAAATATATTTTTAGGGGAATAAAGGGGAGGGGGAGCAGCCACCTAAATAGTTTAACAAAAAAGGATCAGGAATACATGTTAAAAAAACAAGGGGCTGTGTGAAGTTAATGGGTTAAATCTTGAGATCTGTAGAGACCAGCCTTTTTACTGATCACAATGACGCAATATGACCCGGTATGACTTTCACGATTTATAATGGTAGAACAATGCAGCCTGCATCTAAAAATATTTTAGAATCTGGAAAAATACAGAGCTTGGAGTATTGCTGATGCTTTTGCTCCCTGCAGGGATAATCAGTGATTTGTTCACAAAAGCAAAACCTATTCAAAACATCTTTATTTTTTTAAGCTGACTATCCATTTTAATAAAGTAGCTTGTCAATACACACTTAAAGGACCATTATAGGCACCCAGACCAATTCAGCTTAATGAAGTGGTCTGGGTGCCAGGTCCCTGTAGTTTTAACCCTTTCTGCTGTAAACATAGCAGTTTCAGAGAAACTGCTAAATTTACATTATGGTTAATCCAGCCTCTAGTGGCTGTCACATTGACAGCCGCTAGAGGCGCTTCTGCGCTTCTCACTGTGATTTTCACAGTAAGAAGACGCCAGCGTCCATAGGAAAGCATTGAAAATGCTTTCCTATGAGACTGGCTGAATGCGCACGCGGCTCTTGCCGCGCATGCGCATTCAACCGATGACAGCAGAAGAAGGAGGAGATTCCCCAGCGCCAAGGGAGCCCGGCGCTGGAAAAGGGTAAGATATTAACCCATTCCTCACCCTAGAGCCCGGCGGGAGGGGGGGGGCATGAGGGTGGGGGCACCCTCATGGCACTATAGTGCCAGGAAAACGAGTATGTTTTCCTCGCACTATAGTGGTCCTTTAAATCCAAGTTGCAAATCTATCTGAGTCTACAATAGCTGATCTGAAAAAAATCCCGAAACACCGCTTCAACCAAGCTGTTTCAGTCTGAATTTTAACATTCACATTTTAATTTGTTACAATTGAGAGTTTATTAAAGACTCTTCTAACTCATACATTCATATTTATTTTCTATAATTTCTACAATAATACATGTATAACAAACAGAAATATAGAGTAGATTGGACAATACGGCCTGCTCGTTATCACATCTACAATTAGAGTCTTTCTTTGATTTTATTTCCTGCTAAAGACAGCTAAGTGCATTGTTGAATTATTTGACTGAATTGTATCCAAATTGTAAAAATTTAGGCAAAAAGTGCTGAAATATAACAATTTTCCAACTTTGCTAAAGTCAAAGTTTGATTATTTCAGCCTGCATATTTCTCATTTTTAATTTACTACAATTCACTATAAATAAAACCCAAGATGGTTCTTTTCTTCTGTGTTGGAATCTTCAACTCTTTCACAAAATATTTATTTAGGGATAGTGATGTCCTGAACTGTTCGCCGAACGGTTCGCCGAACGGTTCGCCACGAACAGTTCGGCACGGACTCCAGTCAGCAGACACATTCCAGCCAATCAGCAGCAGACCCTCCCTCCCAGACCCTCTCACCTCCTGGACAGCATCCATTTTGAAGCTGCATTCTTAGTGAGCTGTCCAGGAGGTGGGAGGGTCTGGGAGGGAGGGTCTGCTGCTGATTGGCTGGAATGTATCTGCTGACTGGAATCCGCTGCGAAACGTTCGCGGCGAACCGTTGGGGGCATTACTATTTAGGGACGATGAATCCCTCTAACTTCAGAACATATCCATTTGTTGTAGCCCTGAGCTGCATTTCTTTTGCGGATAACAATAGTTCTTTAAATTCTTTGCTCCTCACGAGATAAAAACATCGATTAAAGGAACATTATATGCACCCAGACCACTTCAGCTCATTGAAGTGGTCAGGGTGCACCGTCCCTTTTGCACTTAGTGCTGCAATGTTAAAGATTGGAGTTCCAGAGAAAAAGAAATGTTTCCATTGCAGTTCTAAGTCTGCCTCCAGTGGCTGTCTCCCAAACACCCACTGGAGGCGCTTTCTGGACCTTTGGTCCGGTATCTGACGCTGGATGTCTTCACGCTCTGCACGAGGATATTCAACATCAGATTTTTCCCCATAGGAAAGCATTGATTCAATGCTTTCCCATGGGGAGGTCTAATGTGCGCATTTAGCACCTGCTCGTTCCAAGAAGACGGAGGATCCGGAGCCACAACCCAGCGGTGAGGTGGGAGAAGGAAAGTAACTAAAGGGGTTTTAACCCTTAATCTAACAGGGGACTGGGGGGTGGGCGGTGCGAGGGAGGGGAGATGCAGGGGGTGCCAGGTTTAAGATTAATTTCCATAAAAATATTCAGGCCCTGTGTATCCAATGTTCTTTTCCTGTCTCGGAGTCACAAGGGTCCCCTACTGGAGATCAGTTCCAAAGAAACCTCTCAAATTAGTTGAAAGGCTTTTTTATGGGATCGTAAATAAAGACATCTCAGCTTTTTTTCTGTCTTGCTGCGCTCCCATTTGGATCGATAATATATCTAATAGGATTTTATGATTCTCAATCTCTCATCTTGCTTAGTTCAGGAAATTTACACCCGTCACAGCTACCTGATGTGAGTGACAGACACTGACAATCCATTTGTCGTGCCGTGGAAATCTTGAGGGTTTTTTTTTTTTAAATATTGATCTTTTATGCGAAAACTAGAACAGTTGTTGCTATATAAATATCAGTGCTAGGTTTAATTTGGATCCTACAGCTAAATCTATGCAGGAGTGGGAAAATATGTTCCATTCAGGAAATAGGAGCTTCAGAGTCATGCTGTATTTGTCCATAATCTGCAATAATTGCCTTGTTTGTTAATCTTTTGCAGAAGCAGTCTATTATTCACTAAACTGTGAGTTATGGTGAAAAAACAAGGAAATTGCACTTTTTGGGACAAATTTTAAAAAATAAAACACACATATCCAACGGCATTTTGGCCATTAATTTACAGCTCTTTTGTCAATTCTTCACAGTTTACGGTTTAATAAATAAATTATATAAATAATGCCTTCTAAAATGTGAAAATGTCTATTTGTTTAAATATTGGATGTATAGCTAGAGCATTTAATGATAAAACCGCCCAATGTCACATGTATTTCGGTTTATTGACAGTTTTAATAATGGCGCACAACACAGAATCGTGCCGAGTTAGACAGATAAATGTGATCTGAAACCTTCCCCCTCCCTCTCAAAATATCCCCTTCTCTGCATATGTTTCAATTTCACGGCTGCGGTGGTTCAATTTTTCATGCAATATTTCCAAGCTAATTTTCCTCGACATTCATTGGTTTAAAAATAATTCAGAAACCATTTCCAGGACATGTAGCAGTCACTGCTAACAACACACGCCATCTAAAAATATTGTAGAACAAGCAGTAGATACAGCAAGCAGATAATATCAAACGATATATATATATTTTTTAGACTACTACTCGGAACTGGAACATTCCCTTACACGAACAATTCGGTTGTCAAACATAAAATTCAAACAAAATATGTCAAAAACAAAACTTGGTACCCGAACAAATTACAAAGCATTAACCTTGTTGAAATTGCGTTGGTATGATGCTAATGGACTCAGCACTAGACAAAGCGTACAGAGCTCCATTCTGTCAGCAAACAGAGCTGACATGTAAAGTGAAGTAAAAATTGTATTTCATATCCATTGTGTTTATAGTTTTTTTGTATGTTTTTACGCATTTTAGGTATTATTAAACTGTAAAAATTGTATTAAAATGCTGTAATTTTGGGGGTCTGGAATAGATTAATCTCATTTATATTAATTGTTATGGGAAATTTTGATTCGGTTTTCGATGAAATCGTTTCTCAAACAGCCTTCTCGAACGGATTAAATTTGAGGTCCGAGGTTCCACTACTGTACTTTGTTTTACGTATGAAAACAATGTAAACTATGGTTATTATATACATATTTGGTAAAGCGACAGTGTCACTGCCCCGAAAAATTAGTATTTCATGAAATATTCATTTTGTGTTTCAGTTTCACTGAAATTTCAACCCAGTCAAAAGATATACAGACACAAAGTAGAAACTTTGTATATTTCCTACGCCTGACATTTCTAGACACCGCGGTCTAGTAGTGTCAACCCCCCCAGCCGTCACCAGTGATGGCTGCAGGTAACTGGCTGTGTCTATGTAGAATTCCTCCGTCTGTGAATGGCAAGGAGCTGAAGAGTACTCGCTGAAGGAAGTTGGCGGCGCCCGTGAGGGAAAGGTTCAGGTAAGTAAATCACACCTTTACTTGCACCCCGCGGAGTTGATTTTACAGTTCTGGATCTTTGCAAATTCTGCAAAGTCCCTAGATGGTCACAGTGGCTCTTTAAGTAGCTATTTTGACAATATCATAATAAACATGTCGTCTTGATCATTTTGGATTTCGATCTAACTGAAAAGAAAACGAATGCTACTTTAAATTAATAATATTCGTCAATGCAAACAAACAGTGCTAGCAGTTTGTATTACGACCCTCCATATAAATATTATTTATTTTTGTTAATTTCAATTTAAATTGTGTTGTATGATATCCATATCTGAATTGCTTTGCACTGATTGTGTGTTTAATATATATGTTACTCCCTTTACGTACTCAGCGACATAGAATCTAAATGGTCAATTTCACGGTTGTTACTAAATTGTGAATCTTTGTTTCTATATAGCCAAATTGAAAAAGAAAACTGTCTCGGAGAAGTTTTCAATTTCCTCTTAAAGGGACTCTACACTGCCAGGAAAACAATCTGTTTTCCTGGCACTGCAGGTCCCCTCTCCCTCCCACCTCCCATCCCAGGTAGCTAAAGGGGTGAAAACCCCTTCAGGTCACTTACCTGAGACCCCGCCGATGTCCCTTGGCGGTGGTTTCGGGTCGGCGTCACTCCTCCCAGTAATCACGTCAGCCGGTGGGGGAGAGTGATCCCGCCCGCCGGCTGAGGAAACCTAATGCGCATGCCCCTTTAACAGTGTCCCTTTAACTTTGAACAGTTTTACTACTTACAGTGGTGGACACCAGGTGTTCTGCGGTGGTTATGGTGCTTGGAGAGTTCCACTAAATTCACAACAATTGAGCCACAACATATAGAAAGTAACAAATGTGCCTCAATTTAATTTCTCTGGAAATGCTTTTTAAATGATTTAATGATGTGTAAATGTAAAATTATTGTTTTTTTTGAAAAATATTTGCAATATTTTTTATGTATTGATATATTTATATTTTAATACTATGAAAAAATTATAAAATTAAATAGTTTCTACAAAAATATTAAATAATTTGAAAAACATATTGTTACAATATGCAAAATCCACATACAGAGATAGACTTGTTCAAATATTTCATGGAGCAGTGGAATACAACTCCCATTATCCCGAGACAGCATGCTGGCATCAATAGGAATAGGCAGGCTTTGGCTTTCTAGCCGCAGTGTACTATAGCTCCAGCTATCCACAGACAGACAGGCAGAACAACGTTGTGTGCAAATAAATTGTTTCAGTGTGATGAGTGGTGTATTCTTGTGCAGGGGAGTAGCAGTATTTGCTCACTGTGTCGCTTAGCTATACATACCCGCATGAGGATGATGATGATGAGGATGATGGGAGATGTTGTCACTCACCAGATGAGGACAAAATATTTCATATGTAAATTGAATGTTGTGGGAAACTGCAGATGTTAAAAGCACAGATGCTCGCTAGGATACAATGAAGAAAATTAGCAACATTCTGGCTAATGCTTTTAATTACATTTACATTTTTGCAAAAACAACAACATTAGATTAAATAAAATTAAAAGCCTTACAAAGGAGTTTCTCCTAAAAACCTGTTTTCATAAATCCTTGCTGTGTATAATTTAATAACCGCAGGGGGACGTGCTGGAGATTTACGTTTGTTCCTTGTCTGCAACCAACACAAATTAACATAATTAGTCTACTAGACAGGGTCATCAAGATAATTATTAATTGAGTTTGGAACAATCCCCAGGCTTAGTTTTGTGGGTCCCAAAAAAAATTCACGCATTGCTTTGTAGCAATAATGTGACACGAACAGCTATTTGGTTTGTAATTGTCAATTTCTACTTAATATTTTATAAACGAGAGACAAAGTACACCTGTTGTGTAAATCTGACATGCATTAATGTTTTATACAGCATAAATGTCATGAACATATTGAACTATCTAAATTGGCAGATATTTAAAGGAGACATAGGGACATAGGGACATGTAGGCTGCACATTTATTTGTCTATTTTTGTGTTTATTTTTAATGTGTAAACTTATAGACAACCATTCTTCTGTTCCCATGGAGACGTTTTAGAAGCCGGACAGTTTTCCCCTGTGACTAGGACCAAATATACCAGCTGGCCCGGTGCACTGCAACTTCCGAATCCCTTTTATTGCATTGTATGGTGTTCAACCCAGTGGCACGCAATTGTGGTGACATCAACATGTACCCAGATATAGGGTTATCCAACAGAGCAAAGCAGAACCGTGTGACTCATTGCATGCAGTGCCGTTAGAATGTTGTGTAAATGAAATGGACACAAAAATTACACACACAATAAGCTGTTTGCATCACTATGTCGCAATATAGATACGTCTTGCTGCTATGACAGGCCCACTTTGGTGTTTTTTTGCTAAACAGTGAATTTTGTTGAATATAAAACAAACCTCAAATTTTGGGCTAAAATAACGAAGTTGGAAAAATAATGGAATTAGGGATATTTTTTCCTGTGCAGTTAATTGGGATGTTTTGGAACTTATTTTAGAACTCATGGTCAATAAATTTCTATTTGTCGCTCGTATTCAACTACCACCTGAGTTGTTCAATAATATATTGGTCTGGCAAGTCCTGTTCCGCAAAATAAACTGAGATACAGAGCCTAATCCTGAATTAAGTCAGTGTCAACACTTAGTGTGAGATCATTGCCTTTGGGGTTTCTGTATCTAAGACAGTACTTTAATCTCTGGCTGTATTGCATAATTCCATTTTGGTAATATAAACTATTTCTGAAATAACCCTGTATCAGCTGCTGACCACATTTCTGTTAAGCTAGTGCTTTACCGAAATGCTGAATGGATGCAGATATTTTGGTGCATTGACCCGAAGTCCAATGGGAGACAGCTTACGCAGCTCACTGCAGAGAGAGAGAGAGGGGAGGGTTAAAGAGACAGAGGTGGAGAGAAGTCGAGACAGGAGAATAAGTGAGAAAATCTAGAGAGGGTTAGGAATGGAAAAGGGACAAGAAGTTGACGAGAAGAACATTCGTTGCATAGATAATGTAGAGTTCTTGCGATGCAGTGTATTTGATAATGAACCTGTCTGTAACATATTGTCGTCCTCTGTTGTAGAAAGCGCTATCTCCTAAGGCACTGGGAGGGGTAATACACTGACAGTGCAGAATTCCCTGCTAATTGTTTTTCTCATGGTTAAAAAGACAGGCCTATCAAATTGACCCCAAAGGCTTGTTAATTCACTGCGATAAAAGGCAAGTCATGAAATATTCAGAGCTAGTGTTGGATTAGGGGCTTCATGTGGTTGGAGCTGAAGGACTAAATACAAAATTTGAATTTGTGTTTCTGGTTCCAAGCTACATCTGCAACTGGACTTTGCAATCATACATAAAAGCATCTCCATGGGCATTTAAAAATGTAAATTTGAAGCATATAAAATCCGTCTTTACAAGCTGTGAAGTCATAAAGACATTTACTGGGGAAGCAATCAGAGTAGATATGACTGGCTTAGGTGAGTAGTAAGAAAATATGAATTTACAGGGAACGGTGCGTTCATCGTGTAACCTTACAGCACAAGTGCCAGAGGGTAAATAGACACTTTTCTAACAGATTACAAATCAAATCAACTAAGACAACAACTATACAAAGTCCTAACATACACAAGAGAACTTGCTACTACAGAAAGTGTATCGCAAGAGGACATATGGTACATGATTGTATTTTAGCTACCACTTTCATTAGGTCTTCACTGCTCTCCCATGTATTTTCTACCTTCTCTCTATTTTCCAATTTTCTACCTTTTCTCTTCTATCTTTTCTCCATCCTTCTCAAGCGCCTGCTCTTCAACCTTCCCATGCATCAGTCCACTGCCCTTCCCATCCATCGGTCCACATCTCTTCCCATCCATCGATCCACTGCCCTTCCCATCCATCTGTCTACTTTCCGTCCCATTCATCGGCCCACTGCCCTTCCCATCCATCGGTCTACTGCCCTTCCCATCCATTGGTCCACATCTCTTCCCATCCATCGATCCACTGCCCCTACCATTCATCGGTCTACTACACTTCCCATCCATTGGTCCACTGCCCTTCCCATCCATCGGTCCACATCTCTTCCCATCCATCGATCCACTGCCCCTAGCATTCATCGGTCTACTACCCTTCCCATCCATTGGTACACCGCTGTTCCCATCCATCGATCCACTGCCCTTCCCATCCATCGGTCGGCTACCCTTCCCATCCATCGGTCCACTGCTCTTTTCATCCATTGGTCCATTGCCCTTCCCATCTATCGGTCCACTGCTTTTCCTATCCAACAGTCCACATCTCTTCCCATTCATTGGACCACATCTCTTCCCATCCATCGATCCACTGCCCTTCCCATCCATCGGTCTACTACCCTGCCCATCCATCGATCCACTGCTCTTTTCATCCATCGGTCCACTGCCCACCCCATCCATCAGTCTCGCCCTTCCTAACCAGCATTCTCCCCTTCCCTTCTATCTTTCACCCTCCCTAAAGTCTAACTTGCACTTACATTTATTTATTTTCGACCCTACATCCCTCTCTTCCTGCCCTCAATCTGCTCTTCGTTTTGCCATACTGGTGCCATATTTCTCTCTTTCCCTCCATTTACTAACTCATAATGTATTTTTTTTCTAGGGAAGACATCTCCAGATTGTCTCTAAGAATCCTGTCGTAAGGAACCTTGTTGCTCAGGACAACTCTTCACTACCTCCTGGTGGGAATCACAATGTTCTAGCTCTTCATAAAATAAGTCCGTAAGGTGACGTTTCTGATCCAGCCACAAGCAAAGCGACTGATTGGCATGTGATTTAACCCTCTGTGGTTCAGAGAAGTGAACAACACATTATCATGGGGTGAGACAAGACCTTCATATCCACCCACAAAAACATCTGCAGTTTCCTCTTTTCCTTGTCAAAAAGCAAGAAATTTGCCCAGTTATTAAAATACTATGGTATTTTGGGTCGCTCTACAGTGAGAGGTGAAGATGGGTGTGGCTACTATTTGACCACATCCCTTTGCTTATTGAATCCTTAAATAATGCCACTTTTGGGTAAATGTATCTGTTTTTATGGAATATTCTACCCTGCATGAAAACTAGAAAATGGATCATTTATAATCATAACGAAACATTGAGGCCTTGTTTTATATATAAGTTAACGCTAAGGTGTTTATTCACTAAAAAAACTAACTGTAGTGAATTAAAATCTGAATGAAAGAATTTTGGCCAAAATAACAGATTTTGGGGAAAATATCTCAAACTCAGCTGTATTTGCAGCTTGGTTATTCTAGACCAAATTTAGCAGCTTGTTTTTTTTAATGTACTGTTTGGTGACTAACCCCTTTGCATTGTGGTGAGCCGACAGCAAAACATATAGAATTTTGTCAAATGTTTAGAGTTATTCATTAAACCGAGAAATAGTCGGGAACTGACAAGCTAATTTAGTCCAAATAGCTAAACTGGTAATATTCTCCAAGTCTACTATGTATATATACCTCAACTAGTTTGGACCTAGACCTTCAAATTCCATTTTCAAAGTTCCACATTTCCCAGGACAAGTGAAAACCTCTTTAACTCAGCAATAACAATCTCCAAGTTCACCAGGGTGATTTTATTTGTGGAATACTCTCATGTTACTATTTAGTAAATATATCCCTATGGCTTTTGGGGATAATACAATAATTTTCTTGTTATGACCACGCATTGTTTAAACTCCATTCAAGTGCCATTATAACTCGTCATAGATGGGTTACTATAACCTTCTTGAGGTTTAGATTGTAGCGTATACTACATTCGCTAGTAAATGTATTGATAGGGAGTTCATATGTATTAAGATTTTCTGTGTTTAGAATTGTGACCATGTACAGCCAATATAAATAAGATTAAAAGCATATTTCAAGTCATATTCCAAGGAAGAAGGAAGTCTTCATAGATCCTAGATCATTTCAGTATGTCCTAAATCTATATAATTTCCCAGAATATGATTTTATAGAAAAAAAAACAGAAAAAACACAATATAAAATACTAGTTGCACAACTCGTTTTAATACCCAGGGCCTCAATGAATTATCTCCTGAGGATCTAGGCATATAATTGGGTATTGCCTAACGCTTGGAAACAGTGTATTCCTCTCAAGGTTTGGAGAGTATTCTACTTGAGGCTCACTCAATAGCACACCAGGCTCCTCCTAGATCAACACCATGTTAAGCCTAACCCAGCCTATTCTCAGGATAAACTCCACCCCCTCCCACTCTGGACCCACCCCAGAGGAATAAGCACTTAGTCAATGCTCTCAGGAATGAATATTTTGTGTATGTTTGTCTATGTAATGCTCATAGTTACTGCTTGCACCTTATAAAACCTTCTAAAACAATAACTGAAAAACATTTCATAAAATGTTTTAATAAAGATGCACTTTAAATTAAATTATTTTGTGTGTGTTTACGTCATTTTTGTTCCAGGAAGCCCATATCAGCTGCTTTTTCAAAGAAAGTAATGGAAATAAATTATTACATAAATATTCAAGCATTTAAGATCAAAATGTAGCACAGAAAGTCTCAAAAATTGTTTTTTTATATACTCTATAGTAATAGTAGAAATTAATTTGTTATTCTCAAATGTTTAGTGTGAAAAGACAAATAAAATAAAACCAAACATTGTAAGTTACCTTTTGGTAATCAATTAAAAGTGATCTTGATTGAGTACATTTTAAAGGGACTCTCCGTTGCCCAAATTCCTAAAAAAAATATAAATCACTGTCAAGAGATATCCCCCAAAGAATGCATTTATTTGTGTATTTTTGCATTGGGGTTAACTAAAACCGCGTGCAAAAGCTACAAATCTCTTCTCTGAAGCCGTTGCAAGCACATCCCTTCTAACCCCACCAAGGCTTTCTGTGGCTGTCCAATCACAGACTTCCCAATGCAGCTCAATGAGAAGTCTTTGCAAGGCTGGTGCTCTGGGCAATTGTTGCCTCTTGAGTTTAGCTCAGCTGAGCTAAACAACCAGGAAGTGACAGGACCTGTCGTCTTATAGCAGACAGGGGGTGTAACCAGGTTAATTTATAAAAATTCCAATTTCTATTTATACCTGAACTTTTTGTAAAATAAAAAAGAGGGGACACACTCCTCACATCTAAAGAACTTCAGCTAATTGGTGTGTTCCCTTAAGAGCCTAAATATGCTGCTATGGCCTGAATCATGCTAGTGCCCTTTAAGGTAGCAGATTTACATTCTTTAGTATTGTTCTAATGGTATCAAGGGAGTTAAAACAGAGACAAATTCAATTATATTGAATGTAGCAATATCACTAAATCCACTTTGAACCTGTGTAAAATGTATCAAGGGACAAATCACATAATAGATGGTTTATGTAACTGGCTATACATAGCACAAAACCCCCACCTCATGTGAAAACCCATTCGGATTATATTCCATTGTTTTATATTTTTCACTGCTTTTAATCTGAATTTACTGTAGGCCAATTTCATTTATTTTTTAAAATGTATTGCGAAACAAATGTGCTCATATATTTTAAAACCCGACTTATCCTGGAGGTGTATTCTCTCCCATGGCACAAGTCACACACCCCTACAGCCATCCCTGTTGACAGGCTTCCCAACAAGGCAGCCAATCAGGGCAGTCCTTGAGCAGTGCATTGCTGAAGTGGACAGAGGCCAAACATCAGGACCGTCCTGTCAGATCAAGGACAGTTGGCAGGTATGCACTGCACTCTCAGATACACAAAGTCTACATTGCATGAATCTCTCCATATAACCTATCCTTGCCTGACTCACTGACTGCTAATGATGCCTGTAAGAATAACACAGCTCCTCCGAGAACTACAGCCAATTCCTAAGCTCCGTAACAGAGTTTTTTTACCACCTGAAATCCGGTCCTATTATTACTGAAAGAATTCTGCGTGACTTGGCTGCAGATGTGTCTTCGATAAATAGATTTATATCCATCTGTTTGAAAAAAGGGAACGCTGTGTCCCAAAAGCTTGCGGTACAATATTTCAGGGATCACGTTAAACATATCGCCTTCCTATCTCTATTATTTATTTCCTCTCTTATAAACACTCTACATATATTGATACTTCCATGCAGATCAGACTCTTTGTGTTCAGAAATTTCAGATAATGTTAATGTCGCTTAGAGAAAATATATATATACACGTTACAAACTATGTGTTTTAAACTGGATCATAATATGCTCTGATGTTTCACGTCCCCTCTGTTTACCCAAATGAATTTCCAGCTGTTGGCTCTATTGAACAGATAACAAGACAGACAAATGATGTTCAAATCTCTGCAATTAATGGGTTTATAACAAGGCTTTGCTGCCTTGCTTCCAACTGAGAAATTCCTTGTTGAATCTGCATTAGGAGCGAGATTTAGAAATGTGTAGTGAGATCACAGCTTGGGGTAGAATGAGAAGCTGATCCTATATGTAAAAGGTTCTACTTTAAGATATTAATCATTGATGAAGGGGAGCCCTTTTCACCCACGGAGGAGGGGTGCAATCAGTTACATTCATTGTCTCTGATACTTTCTCAACTTTGACTGCAGAAGCAGAGTACTTCAGCCTTCAGTCCTTTTTAAGGGTACAACTGGAAGTGAAACCGAGGACCTTTGTCTCAAGGGGTTTAAGATCTTTTGTTCCCTAGTAATGAAATGTCATTTTCCGCATACCTCCCAATTGCCCATAGTGTGATATGTTGTCCCAATTTAGGAACCAAGAGTTAAAATAAAAAATACACTTTCATTGGGAGTTTCTGCATCTTTTGCAGCTTCTGCAGTGAGCTCTGCTCAGAACAGGAAGTGACCGGGAGTCAGATATACAAATTGGCATCCTTGTACCTGTGAGATACTGTTTAGGAACAAAAATCTAAAAAAAATGGCACGGGGGCCCCTCTAAAAAAAAAAAAATAACACAAGGGCTGGATGTAACATGATGGGAATGAAAAATAGCAAAATATATAAAGGATCAAATAAACAAATCCAGGCAATTTCACTGGTTCACGATCTGCCTGGCTTTGCAAGAATCTCAGGATCATTCAAACCCAATCACATCTAGCCTTGGTTTACGGCATGCAGTTTAGAATTTAGCAGCAGTTTCATTTATAAGATTGTGTGAATACAACTACTTCCTAAATTGCTAACAGCTGTACTGCAGCTGCTGTTACCTTCCTGACCGCTCCATTCAATGTTTTGTAAATCAAATTGTAGAAGAGACTATCAAATTGAGTATCACCCATCACGACATGCTATATTACATCAATGTTTACATTAGAGTATGTAGAGGCTTGAATAGAAAGTACATGCTGTACAAGTACTTAGAAGGACATATAGTTCCTCAAATGACCTTTGTCAGTGAGTGGGTGGGGTTGTACGGCAAGCAAGTTTTTTTCTAAATACATATTTGATTTATACTCCAAAGCTCTTATGGTAAATTGGAAAATATAACCCAAATTAAAAAGCTGCAATTTACCCATTCTCATGGTTCAATTTAAGAGCAATATCTCATCTTCCTTTAACGTCATGAACGAAAACACATCTAAGTTTTATTTGTGGCAATCTTAGGGACGACATCCCGGCGCTGACAACAATGTCCAAAACATCAGTCTTTGATGGAAATAAGAATCTTTTTCTAATTAATCATGGAAACTCAATTTTATTCATCACACAAAGGAATTTGACCATATTGCTGTCCCGATTCATCAACATATGATTAAATAAACAACATACAATTCTATTTTTATCATAAGATTGAAAGGAGGAAGCAGATTTTGAAAGTAATTAAAAACCATGCAGAATAGTCTGTTGAGGACCCCTTCTTAAGATGCATTAATGGGCGGATAACAGAATCTTTTGTACAAGGAAAACATTTTCTGAAATCATATAAATGTAGAGAACCTTTGTCACAATGAGACAGAGCTGAAGATAATGAACCAGCAAAACATCAGACCACAATGGGCAACCCCTCCACGACTCCGATCTCCTCCTCCTAAGTAATCAGGGAGTAACCAAGGACATTAACGTGCTCTCACAAATATCATTTTTTCTTTACAATTTATGCTTTATTGAATTTTTCTCAGAAAACATAAAACAGGGATACAGAAAGAAAGAAGGGGGGGGAATGCTTTTAGGTTCATGAAAACCTTGTACGATTCATATATTACGTAACATGTTATCTTAAACAGCTTACAGTAGGGCAAGTTCAACCACTGGTATCTCAACATCTGGTGTTCACATCAACATGCTATATACAAGTAGAATTTCAACAATGTTGGCTACGCAGAGCCTTCTTAGCGTTTATGGTACCACACCTGTAATGTCGGTCATGTTCACTTTTTTTTTGTATGGCCATGCTCTCATGCATTTTATTATTTTGTATTAAGATGCGGGCTCTGTTTGTTCCCTCTCTATTGTAAACAGTTCCCAGTTGTGTCTGGCATCTAGGATGTGGCCTGGGGATGTATAGCTTGTCGTAAGCTTCGTTTCATACAGTAACTTCAAGGAGATCTGAGATAGAAGCTCGTTTTGCTTAGGGCAAGTGGTTTGCTTCCATGCCCGTGCTATCAGTGTGTTTGCAGCTATCAGTATGTGAAACAAGAGTGTCTTTTATGCTTTGTTGAGAGTATCTGGAATCATGAAAAGCAGCCCATTCTCCGACTGCAGTGCGATTTTTGTGTGTAAGGAACCGTTGATAAGCCCCCCTCCACCAGCTCCCAATATCCCTTTATCTTTGGGCATGTTCACCATATGTGGTACATACTGCCT